TTAAAATTTTTTTTATAAATAAAATGGGAATGCTAGGGGAGGAAAACGGAAAAGATTTGAGAGCTTTGGAAGAACAAATTGGAAAGGAAATGAATAGTTTGGTACAAGAGGGGGGAAAAAACCTTTCTCAACCAACAAACTCACTGAAAATTGGAATAGAAAAATAGAAACTAATGGATTCATAAAACAAGAAACAATAAAACAAAATCAAAGGACTAAAAAAAAAGGAGAAAATGCACAATTTCTCATAGCAAATGCAACTGACCTTGAAAATAAATGAAGGGGAGAAAATGTAAGGATCATCAAACTGATAGCCATGACCAAAATGATAATCTGATAGATATCATATTTCAAGAAAGCATAAAGGAAAACTGCTCAAACCTCTTAGAACTAGTGGACAAAGTGAAAGTAAAATCTACTAATTATCTCCTAAAAGGAACTCCCAAATGAAAATCCCCAGGAAAGAGCTTCCAAATCAAAGAACAAATACTAGAAGCAGCCGGAACAAAAGAATTCAAGTACCAAGGAGCCACAGTTAGGATTACACATCATTTAGCAACTATCACCATGAAAGAGCAGAGAACTTGAAATAGGGTATTCCAGAAAGCTAAGAATATAGAGCCAAGAATGACTTGCCCATTGAGACTGAGTATAATTGTTTGGGGGCAGGGTATGAACCTTTAATGAAATATTAAAATATTTTAAGCATTCTAAATGAAAGGACCAGAGCTGCATAGAAACTTTGAAGTTAAAACACAGGAGTCAAGAGAAACATAAAATGCTCTTGTTGTGGTAGCAAAAAGTTAGAAACTGAGTGACCAACTATTAGGTAATGGCTGAACAAGTTACAGTTTTATATGTATGTGATAGAGGACTACTGCACTGTCAGAAATAATGAAGGGGATGATTTCTGAGAATCCTGGGAAGACTTATATGAACTGATGTAGAATGAAGTGAGCAGAACCAGAAGAACAAAAACGATACTGTGAGACAATTTTTGAAAGATTTATGAACCGATCAGTGTAATGACTAGTTGTGATTACAGAAGGAAGACTCATATGAAACAAGCTACCCACCTTCCAATAGAGGGGTGAAAGGATCAGAGTGCAAAGTGAGATAAATTAGTTTTTGGGCATGGACAATGTAGAAATTGTTTTTTTAAAAAGTTTTGATTGCTGTTACCCCTGGAGAAAAATACACAATTGATTTAACATAGCCTTTGGTGGATTGATAGGTATAACACTGAAACAATATGATACTGAACTGTAGCTAAAACAGCCTCCTCAGTAGTAATCTATTCTTTTTGAGGTAGTATTTGGATCTGCTGCTGATTTATTTACAATATGTTACTTTATTTACATTCAGATTGTAAAGTTCCTTTCAAAGAATGGTAAGAAATCTTATTTTCCTAAGCCAAGTTGCTATTCAAATGTTATCACACCATATGAAATCTAATTTTTTCTTTCTTGATTACAAAAGAAAACTGAGGGACAAGGCAAAGGAAGGTTTCTTAAGATCATGGTTAAGCAAGATGTCTCAGATTTCTCAGGCTTTCTCTGCATCCAATCACCCCAAAGAATCTTCCAAAAATAATCCAATAGATTCCACATTAGTCATTCTGAGAGACTATTCATTGGGTTTTTCTATAGATATTCTAAAACCATCCACTAGTCGTAGTCCATATGCTAGTGGAATATTTAACCCCTTAACATTTTAAGAAAATAATGTTCACCCAAATCTGGGTTGTTTTATAAGTTCCATTGGGTTATATAGCATCCATTTTTAATTAGGTCTGCCTCTCTGCTAGTTTCAGATACCACATTGTATGTGGTAGGGAGGCTTAGAAACTGTCTTTGCTCTTGCTGAAGGCAGAGATCTGCCCATCCCTGTTTGCCCAACTAAATAGCAGGTTGATCTGGATGCCAGATGAACTCACATCCTGTAATATATTGCACAGAACTTGAAATAGCCTATGAAAATATCTGTTTACACTAAATCTGTTTATATCTGGTTTCTAGTAACCCTTTGAATTTTGTGAAAAGAACGAGTGACTGAATATCAGAACAGTTTCTTTAGTAGTCAAAGTAGGGTAGAGACATCTTCACAGAACATTTCTTATTAGAGTTAATAAGGACATAGAGACTTCTTTTTTGGTTACATTAAATATCAGCATGATACAGTGAGTTAGGATGGTCTGAGTTAAAACCTGAACTCAGAGACTCACTAGCTGTGTGGCCCTGAACAAGTCACTTAGTCTGTCTACCTTAGTTTCCTCCTTGGTAAAGTGGAAATAATAATAGCATTTACCTCCTAGGGTTGTTACTAGGATAAAATGAGATAATAATTTGTAAAGGACTCTATAAACCTTAAAGCACTATAAAAATACTAGTTATTATTATTAGGAAGACAATTTTAGCTGCATAATCCTACTGATGTAAGCTATCTTGGTGATGGCATGGGTTAGTATGAATGACAGTAAAGTCCTTAAAATAAGGTAGAATGCTAAAAAAGGATCAGGATCTTGAAGCAGATGCTGGTCACTCAGTTTCAGGTGTAGACAGATGGACTCTAGGTTTGGTGGTCATAGCTAGTAGAAGTTAGCTCTGAAAAGTGAATTTTAATTTCCTATTTTAATATCTACTTTTAATGTCTTACGCCCAAATCTTAGCCAAAGGAAATTAGCTTCTCCTGACTATTGTCTTCCTTGCAGAGCATTTGGTTTTAAAGTTTTAATTACTTAAAAGTAAGTTTACCTGAATTTGGTATCTTAATTTTTGGCATAGTACATCAGGAAGACCTGGCTTGAATTTTTCTCCATTTGTACAAAGTTGTCTTGTATACTTGAAGATTCATTAACATTTCAGTGAGATTATGTTAGGAACCTGTAAATTATGGAAGGCATAACTTCATTTACATGTAAAAACTTTGATATGTTGTAGTATATTTTTTTTGTATTTTATTTTTTCCCAATTGCATGTAAAGATAGTTTTCAATATTCATTTTTGTGAAATTTTGAGTTCTAGATTTTCCTCCTTCCCTCCCCTCTCTCCAAGACAGCAAGCAATTTGATATAGTTTATACATGTATAATCATGTTAAACATATTTCCACATTAGTCATGTTGTGAAAAAAGAATCAGAACAAAAAGGAAAAAACACGAGAAAGAAAAAAAAAAGAGTGAAAATAATATGCTTTGATCTACAGACTTCATAGCTCTTTCTCTAGATGTGGTTAGCATTTTCTATCACGAGTCTTTTGGAATTGTCTTAGATCCTTGTAATCCTGAGAAGAGCTAAGTCTGTCATAGTTAATTATCACACACAGTGTTGCTATTGCTGTGTATGGTGTTCTCCTGGTTCCACTCATTTCACTCAGCATCAGTTCATATAAGTCTTTCCAGGTTTTTCTGAAATCTGCCTGCTCATCATTTCTTATAGAACAATAGTATTGCATCAGATACATTTACAACAGCTTGTTCATCCATTCCACAGTTGATGGGCATCCCCTCAATTGCCAGTTCTTTGCCACCACAAAAACAGTTTGCAGTATTTATTTAAATGAGATGGTGGTGAATTAAGGGACTGGATTGGTCATTGGGGGGAAAATACCTAAATGCCAAATGCTGACATTTTTTTCTTTCTAAAAATTTTTATTTATTTTTAACACTCATTTTCTAAAAATAATTCGAGTTACAAATTCTCTCCCTCCCATCTACCCCCTGGCCTTGAGAAGGCAAGTAATAATATCAGTTATACATGTGAAGTCATGCCAAACATTTCCATATTAGTCATGATGGCCTTCCTTCCCAAAAAAATCCCAAGAAACATAAAGTGAAAAAAGTATACTATAGTCTTCACTCAGTTCATTAGATCTCTCTCTGCAGGTGGATAGCATTTTTCATCATGAGTCTTTTGAAATTGTCTTAGATCATTATCTTGATCAGAGTAGCTAAATTTTTCACATTTAATCATTTGTACAATGTTGCTATTTGTCTGTATAATTTGTTCCTGGTTCTGCTCACATTGTTTTGTCTTAGTTGGTTTCTCAGAAGCCATCCTGCTCACCATTTCTTATAGTATAGTAATATTCCATCACAATCATATACCACAACTTGTTCAACCATTCCCCAGTTGATGGGCATCTCCTCAATTTCCGATTGTTTGCAACCATATAAAGAGCTGCTATAAATATTTTCATACAAATAGGTCCTTTTCCCTTTCCTTTGATCTCTTTGGGATACACACCTTGGGTAAGAGGGTATACACAGTAGTTTTATAGCCCTTTGGGCATAGTTCCAAATTGTTCTCCAGAATGGTTTGGACCAGTTTATGACTCCACCAACAGTGAATCAGTGTCCCAGTTTTTCCATATTCCCACCAGCATTTATCATTTTATTTTTCTGTCGTGTTAGCCAATCTGACAAGTGTGAGATAATGCCTCAGAGTTGTTTTAGTTGCATTTCCTTAATAATTAGTGACATAGAGCATATTTTCATGTGACTGTTTATAGATTTGATTTCTTCAGAAAACTCCCTGTTCATATTTTTTGACCTTTTATCAATTGGGGAATGACTCTTATTTTTATAAATTTGGCTCAGTTCCTTATATATTTGAGAAATGAGGCCTTTATCGGAGAAGCTTACTGTAAAAAAAATGTTTCCCAGTTTCCTGTCTTCTTATTTTCGCTGCATTGGTTTTTGTGTGTCATTTTCTTTCAGTGTTTAGTGCATGTATAAAATTTTAATCAAAATTCTAGTTGCTAATTGATCAATTACGTTCCTCTCTTATAAGACTTTCTTTTATAGACAGAGTAAGCGTTTTTCTCTGTGGGGCCAATTTTAGTTGGACATTTTAAAACTAAGTGTCAAACTCTGAAGAAAATACATTGTTATGTAGTTATCTCCCTAGTATTCCTTCTAGGGAAGTTTTATTGTTTTTGTTTCATTTTAACATGTTCTGAAACAGTGACCATTGACACTTTCTGTGTATTCTTTTTTTACAGAAATGGCAGGACATTATTAAGGAAGTCAAGTTTCTACAGAGAATAAAGCATCCCAACAGCATAGAGTACAAAGGCTGCTATCTGCGTGAGCACACGGCATGGGTGAGTGTTCTCTCTGCCTCCTGTCCTGTTAGGTGGCTGGGTTTAGGTTAATTCGGAATGGAGAGTTTGTTCAGCAGAGCCACTTGACAATTCAGTCATTCTAAGAAAGGGAGATGCAGAACCTTTAGATGTCAGAGGAGTAGGGGATGAATTTCTGGGATGTTTCAAACTGAAACACAATTTCTATAGAGTTTTCAAAAATTCAAATTCAATTTATATACAAATTAGAAGTTTTTATCTTGCTTTCTTAGAAATGAGTTTTTCAAATGATTCTGTTCTATTCCACAAGAATTTATTAAGTGCCGGGTATGTGCCAGATACTGTGCTTGGTGCTAGGGAAACAAAGACAATGAGAAATGGTCTCTGCCCTCAGGGAGCTTATATACAGCATCACACATGTCCATATGTGCAGAGTAATTTTGGTGGGAGTGTAAGAGGATCAGGATAGGTGCCTGTGGAAGGTGGCAACTCCTGAGTTGTGCAGCTCTACAGGGGCCTGGCAGAAGGTGCAGAAAGAAACAGGAGATGGCGCATCCTCTATGAGGAGAGTGAGCCATTCAGTGTAGCTGGAGTGGAGAGTAGGTGAGCAGGAGGAATCAGGGATCTGCTGTGAAAGAGACTTTGGAACCAGAAAGTGGAAGACACTTAAGTCATAAGCAGAGAGGTTTGCATTGTTTTCTGTCAGACCCAGGTCAGTGCAGCTCATGCGTTCTTGTTTTATGCCATTTAAATCAGAAAGTGAATGTGAGTGAGTTGAAAGCACTTGTCATCTGGTCGACAGTCACCATTGAGTAGAACTTTTGGCTGAGTGTCGTTTCTTGCCTGTATCATTTTTCAGGACGAGTGTAGGCAGCTAGGTGGTATATGGGTGCTGATGTCAGGAAGACTTGAATTTGAATCCTGCCTTTAATACTTACTAACTTTGTGACCCTGGGCAAATCACTTAACAACTTCTCATCTGTAAAATGGGAATCATGACACATACCTTCCAGGATGGTTGGGAGGATTAAATGAGATAGCATTTATGAAGTGCTTTTCAAACTTTAAAACACTGTGTAAAAGCTGGCTATTATCATTATTATTATTACAGAAAAACTTGAGTGTAATGTCTAAAGCTTAGTATTGGTAAATTTTGCCCTCTTGTTACCATTGAAATGTTTGACCTTTGAACTGTAAGGGGTTTTTGCTTTCTGGATTGGCCACAGTCAGTCACTGTTGGAGGTTAACCAAACCAAGATTCTGAATTTGAAAAGTTCTGTGGCAGAAAAGAAGTGTGATGCAGTGTCTGGAAAGCCTTGCCTCAAATCCTATCCCCGTCACATCCTAGGTATATGGCACTAGGCAAATCACAGGACTACTCAGTATCCAACTCAAATAGAAACGATCCCAGTGAGCTGCAGATTGATTTATTAAACTACAAATTAACATTATCTGTGTTGTATTTCTTATTTAGTTTGCTAAACACTTTCCAGTTGTACTTTGATCTGGTTATTTGAGGGCCATGCTGAAGTGAGTTTTGAGTTGAACATATCTGCTCTATGCAGAGGGATTCATTACCTGAGAATTCCCTGTACAACAGAAATCACATGCCTCAACCCTGTCATCTATCCCTTGAATCTATAAGCCATTTGAATAGAGGGTGTCATTGAATAATGTCCAAGTTATAACCCATACAACATTGCTGGCCTCATCGTAGAGTGTCCTGGAAAAACAGGATGGTAGCAAAAGGCCACTGAAAATAGACAAACTTAAAGCAGAAGGGATAGTTTATTCCAGAGGAACGGTGTTATAAATAGACAGCTGTATGATGTTATAATTAGTTTGATTAGGAGCTATTGGACTTCATTGAAGAGTACTGGTCCAAACTATGGCACTCTCTGCGCTTTTGTAAAAGCCATGCCCATGGGATCAGGAGGCTGTACTTGGTGCATCTAAGAGTTTCTCCTACATGTAAAAACATTCAGCAAACCTTGGACAAACTTAAAGAGACGTATACTCCCCACCCCTGCCATCCCACCATTGTAAATATCTCATTTTTTATGTAAATTTTGACTGGCCTTGAAGCCTTCACTCACAACTTAAACCATTCAGCTGCTTTGAGTATTACCTTTTTTATTTTCAGCATAAACCTGTTTTACTTTTTATGTAGTTTAAGAGGTCTTACAATGTTTTTATGATTATTTTCATGCAGCTTGTAATGGAATATTGTTTAGGATCAGCCTCAGACTTACTAGAAGGTAAGTTTCTTTTTATTCTTAAAGTGATGAAATTGGAAAGTTCCATTGGTAGATTTCCCAAAAGTGAATTTTTAATTTAGTGAAATAAAAACTACAGAAATAACGGAAAATAGAGGAAACTTTAGCTTTTCTTTTTCTAGATTTACAGAATGGTATATTTTAGTGCCATAAAATTGTACTATTTAGAGCCATTACTTTCCTACCTGCCGTTGGGCTAGCTTCTCTTACACTTGGAAGACCCTCTTTCAGCACATTGTACCAGTAGCAGAACTAGGTCTTTCCTTTGAGGTCAGAGCTTGAGGGGATATTTGCTGGTACTTATATTTCTTAAGAACCCTAGCACTTTCTGGCAAGTAAAAAATTCGAGTAAGAGCTACAGTTTTACAAACTGAACTTGGTAATTCTCTACTTATATGCTTGTGTGGTTACGCTTTGTCATGTTGGAAATGCTTGGTTTTCTCACCTCCCTCCCTTGCCCCACCATTTTCAGACTTCATTTTTTTTTTAAATTTTTTTTTGGTGGGGGTACTATCAAAGAATGTGAATTATTCATTTTCAACAAATTCTTTTAAGTTCACAAAAAGCCATTACAAGAAGTGGAAATAGCAGCGATCACACATGGTGCTCTCCAGGGATTGGCCTACTTACATTCTCACAATATGATCCATAGGTAAGTGTTTTGAGAACCAACTACATATCTCTCCCTCTCTCCTGTTCCCTTCCTTTTCCCTCCCTCTCTGTCTGTCATGCACATGCATGCACACACACACATACACACACACACACACACGATTAGTTTGCTCAATTTACCATAGCTTAGTCACCCTTGTAGTGAATTTATTGTTGGTTACAGCAAATTGAGTGTTTTACAGAGTTAAAAATTTTAAGTTTAATTGCAGTTTTTTATAGAAATACTGTGTTTTAGAATGATGAACTTAAACTGGTATAGTAAAACACGAACACAACAGTTACCTCATTTCCATCTTGTGTTTTTGTTTGCAACTGTTGGGATTTCTTGAGTGTGTGAGACTTAGGAACTTAATATGGTAGAAATTTGCTCATCATTATTCCTTGCTATAAACAATTTAACTACCTTTGAATGTGTGGTAATTGGATCTTTGAAAATTAAATTAAAAAAAATTAATTAGAACCTTATTCAGAAACCATTTATGGAGATTTCCCCCACTATTTAGATTACTTTGGGAGGCAGAAATGATTTCCCTGTAAAGCTTTGGAAGGAAGCTAACTCTTTTTCAAGATTTTTGAGAGCATCCTTGGGATCTATTAAGTAATGGTGTTTGTGTGCATGGGACCTCATAATTGTTTGATTTTTAGAATAGAGTACATTATACAGTCCAGTGTGTGTACCATCTAATTAGAATACACTACCCATGGAGGGACAGTTTATTTGCAATAGGATTCTGCCTTCCTAAAGAAGGAGATTGGAATGTAACTTGGTAGTCAGAGCAGTGTTAAATCAGTAGGTTTTAATTTCTGTCTGGAATTTAGGAAGTAATATGATGATGGCTTGTAGGGACAAAAAATGTTTTACCTTTTCTCCATAGAGGTTTTTTGCAGTTGTGGGCATGCATTTTTTAAACTCCTACTTCAGTTTATTCTTATTCTTATGCCATTATTTGTACAAATAAACTGAAACTCAAAATATAAATCTTTATCTTACAATTAAGTAATTATCTGTAGCTCTTTTCCCCCCTTGCTTTTTTTTTTCTTCTAATTCTGATTCTGAAGCCTTTTTGTTTGTTTGTTTGTTTTAATCTGTACCCTGAATGTTTCATGGAACGTAATTATTTTGATTTCTTTCTCCCTTCTTTGGAGAATTCTTATTTGATCCTTATCACAGTCTAAGAAAAGCAAGATATATAATTATCTTATGTTCCTTAATCAGAGATATCAAAGCAGGAAATATCCTCCTGACAGAGCCAGGCCAGGTGAAACTTGCTGACTTTGGATCTGCTTCCATAGCATCTCCTGCCAATTCCTTTGTGGGGACACCATATTGGTAAGAATATTTTTCTATTAATGATGGTTTTAACCTGCTAGTCAGTGTGTCTGGTTAGTATGACAAGTTGAACTTGATTCAGTTTGGAATTATTTTCATTTGGAAGGGAGTATGTAATGAGAGATGCCTGAGAACACCTAAGGGAAATGGATAATATTTTTTATCTTTCCTCAAAGTATACCATATTGAAAATCCTTACATTTTTAAGGGCTGGCCCCAGAACACCTGAATGCTGTCCACTCTCAGGTATCCAGGGTTAGAGCAATGCTCTTCTCAGCCCTCAGATGGTCTGCTTCTTTCTTCATTGTTTTACTTGACACTTTCAGGTAAACTTTGGGGATAGGAAGGAAAATTAAGTGTGAAGCAGGTCAGTAAATTGCTTTGACTCAAAGTTTGTTCAGGGAGGAGATGGAAACACTAGCTGAACAGGGCGGGTTATTTTTAGATCCCGTGTTCTTACGCTATAATCTGTCTTCATGTTTATTGACTGTATTAGAGTTGTATTTTGTGAGTATTGTGGAGTGTTTTTTAAAATTATGCAAAATAACATATGGTCATCACTCCATCATGCTGTAGTAATGATATTTATGTATTAAATCCTATGTGAAGCATTTAATAATAATAACTGATGTTTATATAGCACTTTAAAGTTTCCATAGCACTCTACTTTCTTAATTTCATTTGACCCTCATTCCCAAACCCGAGAGGTAAGTGTTGCAAGTATAATTCTTGTCATTCTATAGGTAAACTAAGATAAAAGAGAGGTTAAGTGATTTAATCTTGGTCAGATGCCTTCTGTGTATCAGAGGCAAGATTTGAACCCAAGTCTCTCCTGAGATCTGTTTTAACTACACCACATTGCCTTCTCATTTGAATGGGCACTATGAGTTCTCTACACTGGGCTCAGGGCTATGGGGTTAGAGTATCTAGATTTCAAGCAGGTACCAGGCAGTCTCTGCCATAGAGTCCAGTTCAGGAAACCAAATAAATACATGGGAATGTACTTCTTCATGTAATACTGGAGCTAAAATATTATCAGTTATACCCATGGATAGTGACATTATTTTGAGTGACTAGGAATTAAAGTCTTATAGAATTTTTTTTTCTACGTGCGTGCTACTTGTGGCCTAATAAAAGCTTTGTACACAGTCGTAGGGCAGTTGGTATCCTTTTAATTTTGAAGAAAAAGTCAGATTTTTTCATCGTTACTTTTCTATTATTGGTATTATATGATTTTGGTTTTTTACCTTTTTTGAAGCATAAGATCGTCTGAGGAAGTTATTCACATTTTTATTTGCTTTTCTTTTTCAAGCTTCTCCAAACAAAAGATAAATATCACTAGTCAGAACCTAGGGAAAAATTGAGGGATCAGCATAGATTGCCCTATATTTACTATCTGGTTCAGATATGTTATTTTCTGGGGTGTGCAAGTTAGAATCTTCAAATTTTAATACCTGAGATCCAGAAAAAAGAATGAGAATGATTATTAGACTGGTTTTAACATTAATAGTGTCCCCAAATGAAGTTCTGAGATGATTATATTTATCTTATTTCCCCTATACATTCTTTGCCCATCATAATATTTCTGCTGTTAAGTAGTTGGGCCTAAAGTTTAAGACAGTATTCATTCTAACATGTAGGTTATATAGTTCACATAGAATATTTTAACAAATTTATAGAGTTTTAAGCAATAAAAATTAATGTTTTGTATTTTAGGATGGCCCCAGAAGTAATTTTAGCCATGGATGAAGGGCAATATGATGGCAAAGTAGATGTGTGGTCTCTTGGAATAACATGTATTGAGTTAGGTAAGCAACATTTTTATTTTGATATATGATAGGTTGACTTAACAGATGTTTTAACCTCAATTCTATCTCCTGTATATAGCTTTCTGTATTTTATGCAATTTCTTTAGGGGAGCAATTGATGAAGTTTCTGTCAGAAGTCCCATTTTGGTTCTCTGTTTCATACTTTGGCATGTCAATTAATGTAATGGACCTAAAATAACTTTCTAAACTAATGATATCTGTGTTTAGGAGCAATCAACAAATATTTATTCAGCATTTAATGTGTAGGTAGAACTGTGCTAGAATTGTCTCACATGTAAGTTGATATGTATGGTAAACCCTCTGATGGGATGCCATGATAGTTGGCACCTAGTTGCCTGGGGTGAACCAGGTAATTAAGGTGTCCATTTGCTCACTGCCTTTTACACCAGTCTTGGTACTTGTCAAGGTTGTCCTAGCTTAGCTCCTCACAGATATGCCACAGACAGCAAGCCTTTCTTTTAAGAGTAAGATTAGTAAGGCTCTTCTAATTCCCCCAGTGTCACCAACTCTACCTCCCAGCCTTTCCAATGTTGAGTTTTTCATTTCACGAAGTTTCTCCATAAGAATTTATTTAAAATGAAAAGAATATTTACAAGTACTTGGGAAAAGTATGCTGGAAGTGTTTTAGAGAGACACCAAGGACATGAACAGGTCACAATGCCTTAATTTGAAAAAATCATTACTGTTGGCTTTGTTCAGATGGGATCTTGGTCCTGATCAGGCCTAGTTTCAGCGAGAAGCTATACATCTGTATCTAGTGTACTGTCTCATGGGGATAGATGTGATTAGAACTTTATTACTGTATAGTTAAAAGTAATTTTGCATTGATTTTTCTAAAGTCATCTACCAACAAGACTACTCTTTTGCATTTCTAGCATTGGTACTGAGATTAGTGATTGATAATGGAAAGAGTCATTCCCATTCATTTTTATTTCAGAGAGACAAAAGCAAATTCTTAGTAATCTTGACAACATCTCCCTGAAATGGGTCATAAATAAACAAGGAAACTGAGGGATAGGTGAAATAGAGATCTCACAAATGGATTGGTTTTAGCATTAGAAGATTGATGTCTTGGCACCCAGTGTCTCAGTCCTTAAAGTGGGCTTCCATTCATAGTCAGAGTTTTTATCTTTTGTTTTTCTCAGAGGGGACTCCTGGACTGCCCCACTCTCCAATATCCATCATCAGCTTCTGTGCATTCCCCAGAATTACAAATGTTGCAGTTTGTCCAGCAAGAAACATTAACAATTTGATGAAGTTTTTGCAGTGCCATTCACCATTATCTTTAAGGAAAAAGGCTCAGAATTAATTGAACAAAACTCTGATTGGATAGTTATCTACTTACCAGTCTGTTCATTTATGTGAACTCAATTAGTTTTTGTATGAAATTGTTCTTTAATATTCTAGGCCATGGATTAAATAGATTATACTTATAATAATGTGGTTTATATTAGCAGTAAAACAGCTTTAGGAAGTGTGTGGCTGTTGTAGTACTCTCAAAGAGAATTTGGATTGGCTTACCCGGTACCCTAGGAAAGCATTTAGCTGATGGTGCCCAAGTACCCTCACCTTATCCTCCTACTCCAACATATATGCTTCATTTTTATTCCATGCTGAATTTTTCTTTATGAAGTGTGAGATCAAGGGATCTGTTTTTTAACCTGGCTGTAACTCATTGGAAAAGGCCTGGTGGAGTGCTGGTTAATTGTCAGTTGAAGTTGGACATGATCTTGTGGAATATATCTGATTCCCATTTCTAGGTTAAAATAGTCATTTATCATGAAAGTGAACTCTTTTTCCTTGGTACAGTAGCCTAAAGGGATGTATCTAAATCTTCTGGGGCCTTTCCTGGGTTTTGGTAACTGAATAAATACAGTCTTGGCTATTGTGGCATCATAAGAGATCAAAGCCAATTGGTATTTCCTTATATTTGCCCCAGGAAAATTGAGATTGGATGTTATCCCTAATAAGCTGGTTTAGGAGTCCTCCCTGTTGCCCTGAATTAGCTTCAGAATGTGATGAATGAAGACCTTTTTTTTTAAGATCTTTTGGTCTTTCCAAATAGAGTTATAGCTGAGAGAGAAATAGAATTTTAGTATTTGACAGTGAGGTTCTGGACTCACCTGGGTATTGGAGCACAGAAGTGCCACATCATGTTCTGCTTTTCTTCCCTCTCTTGTGCTGACCCCAAGGGCTTCCTTCCTTATCTCACCCTAGTTTTCCTTTGGATGAGACTGTTTCATGGGAAAGAGAAATATTTATAAATATGTTTTATCCTGGGATAGGAGTGTTCCAGGTCTTCCACAACTCCCAGGACAAGGAGCAAATATTTCTAAATATGCTCTTTTAGTTACTATTGCTACTATTAATTTGTCATTCTCAATCAACATTTAGCATCTACTTTGCAGCTACTGCACCATGAGCCACTCTGAGGATTACAGAGGTAGAAAAGTTGTTTATTATGTTCTAAACTCATTCACCAAACAAATAGGTGCTTTTTAAAACAATCTGCATTAGCAACAAGAATACAGGAAGTAATTTTTTTACCAGTTGAAACACAGTCCTAGAAAAACACGTTTTCATCGTGCTGCAAAATACCACAGCCACAAAAAACCTAAAACTTAAACCTATTCACATTTTTAACTGCTATTCTTTTTCAATATGAATAGCTTCCAAGATTGTCAAATTTTTTTTCAGTAAATGTCAGTCTTCTGTATCGTACCCTATAAATTTTCTCCAAAAGCCTTTAGCTCTAATATTCCAATTTGATTTTACTTTCCATGTAGGAAATCATGTTGGTTTTATTAAGAATATTGCAGACTGAGGAAAAGACTAATTGAGAACCATAAAGTCAAAGTCATAAGGAATTAGTTCCTCATGTCCATCCTCAGGTGGCATATGGCTCTAGTAGCTCATATCATAAACACTTTATGTAGTTACTATAAATTTTAAAGCTATGGAATCTCAACTAAGTTCACCAATAGAATTATCACTTAAGATTGGAACTTAGTGTGAGTCGTGGTTAGGAGGTTTTTGTAATGAATGCATGTCATACTGCTGGTTCTGAGTCGCTGTGCTGTATTCATTTTCTCATGAAAATTTTCTTTTCTGTTCAGCGGAAAGGAAGCCTCCTTTATTTAATATGAACGCAATGAGTGCCTTATATCATATAGCTCAGAATGAATCTCCTACATTACAATCTAATGAATGGTGAGTATTTCTGATAAATGTGTGGTTAGAACAGTTTAGTTCAACAAACATTCATTGATGACCTCCTCTGTGGCCAGCACTGTGTTGGGCACATGAATGAAGTATGTTGGATAACATAAAGATCTTTTACATCAGGTATACTGTGTCCTTTATTGAGTTACACTTGCTCTTTTAGAAAGTGGTATTGCATAGCATATCTACAAAACAGAAGGTTTAGAAATAGAATATACTAAAATCAAAAGTTGAATGTCCCTTTCATAAATGACAATATATTTAGTATTATTTTGAAATTCGACTGTTTTAAGAATCATTAATATTAAAATGAATAGAAACTACATTTTAAAGCTATGTCTGAGAAAACCTGAAAGCCTAAGATTTAATCAGCTTGTATAAGCAGTTGGAGAAATGCCTATTAAATATACATGAAGGATTGCAGTGTTTTGGTTGTTGAAAAGATGGGCCCCTTGAATTGACATGTATAGTTACCTGTTCAAATGAAAAACTAGAGAACAGATCACTCTAATTGAAATCCTGATATTCGTGGATATTCATATCGCTCTGATCTTCATTCCCCTAGATTCTTGGATTTTATATAATTATGTTCACTTGTAGAGAAGAACAGTTTGACCGTTTTAGTAAGCAAACACTTCATTAGTATTGGAAATTTTTGACAGAAAAAGAACGCCTCAAATGTACTTGTATGTGTTAGAGAGAATGGTCATCTAGCCCAGTCCCCATTTTACTGATTATAAAACTGAGTTCCAGGGAAGTGACCAGGTCATCAATCAAAGTCCAGCATATCTTGTATGTGTATATTTGTATAAACTAATGTATACTTGAAAAGAATCTATGATTCCATCCATCTGAGTCATCCTCTTCCCACTAAAGCAGGTCACAAATCCTTCATTCTGTGTCAGATAGTTTTCACGAAATGCTATGGGGAAAGTAATTCATTAACTCGTGGCCAGCCTTCTGATAGATACTAGACTCTCTGAGCTCAGGACTGCTCCTAACGAGACAGATGCATCTGTAGGTAATCTCCTTGAGGCTTCTTTGGCCTAGCAGCACCTGCCTTAACTTGTACTCCACTGGTGGTGGCTTTCAGGAGCCCATGATTCCTCCGATGCTGTGGTGAGGCATCAAAAGAGAACTAGAGTGGAGGATTTTTTTAAGATAGAGACCTTAAAAAAGCATCCTGTGTAACTAAAGGTATCTTTTGTTAAAGGTCGTACAATTAAGATATATTCACAGGTTTCACTACCAAAGAGATTTTCAGATAGCTTATAGAATCTCTTTGGGCTTCTTTATGTAGAGATGTGAAAGAAAAGCAGAATTTGACAATTCAGTTAAATCATTAAATACATATTGAATGCCTGTTCCTCACACTCTGCTATATGACCATGAGTATGATCCCTTTTGATAAGGAACTTAATTTCTAGTTTAGGGGTCACTGCAAATCTACATAAAATAATTAGTAAGCCACGCACTCTGTTGAATGGGACAATTGTGAAGTATAAACTGCCATACCAGAAGACAGTACCTGATAAGATGCGTGTTGGGGAGTATGCATAGTGTTACTGTTGGCCAACAAATCTCTTGAAAATTTATATTAATGACTTTTTTCTAAGTTTAATGCAAGTTTTGTAATATTTACCAGTATCACAATGTTTAGGAACTTCAGAAGAATACTCTTCCTAAGATATATGACATGTTGCTTAGACTAATGAGGCTTTTAGAAACTATGAGAGGGACAAAAAGGTGGGAGGAGAAAGAATCAGAAAAAAATATACTTGATGATTATAGACAGTTGCCAGGTCATGCAAATGTATTCTAAGGATCGTGCAATTTCATTAAAATGGGGGCCAGCAAATGACAATGTTCCCAAGTCATTGTTTACCCATCCCATGTGCTCCCTAGAAAACTAGAGAAGATTCCAAGTAGGTAGGTTTGCATTCTTAATTCTGATTGTGAACAATTGACTACATCTTCTCAAAGGAGGGTCTTCCCTGTTTTGATGCCTGCATATGTAGCCCTTTCTTCTCCTACATGTTAGTATCTTGGTTAATGGAAATTATGTTAAAGTTAGCATCATGGTCAAAAATTGTATTGTTGTTGTTTGTTTGTTTTTTTTTTCCCTTGAAACAGGTCTGATTATTTTCGCAACTTCGTAGATTCTTGTCTCCAGAAAATTCCTCAAGATCGGCCTACATCAGATGAACTTCTCAAGGTTAGTTTTCTCATCTTCTCAAATGGTAATAATTCTTACCAGTTAAGAAAAATACAAGATGAAGATTGTACGTGAAACCACCTCTTGTCTTTAAAAAAGCATCTAATAAATTCAACCCATTGCTTTCAAAACTGCCCTGCTTGTCCAGGCTTCCTTCTGTACCTTTTTTTTTTTTTAAATTTGTGTGTTACTGTTGCCATCCTCTCTTCACTTGCAGTTAAAAAGCAAAACTAAAACTCTTGTAACAAGTAAGCAGAGGCAACCCAAACCAGTCCCTGCCTTAGACGGATCAATCTCTGGCCATTTCCACCCTGACACAGAGCCAGCCTGTGCTGCTTTCTCATTGGCCCTTTGGTCATTGTTTTGGCCAGAGCTTTCAGAGCTGATTTTCTTTCCCATGTTGTTTCACTGTACAAGTTGTTCTCCTGGTTCTACCCACTTCACTCTGCATCAGTTTCTACGTGCCAAGATTCTCTTTCGTCCTTTCTTACAGAGCAGCAATAATCTATCTCACTCATACACCGTGGGTCATTCAGCAGTCCCCATTTAGTGGGTATCCTCTTATTTTCTAGTTCTTTGTTTTCTCTTTATCCCCCTTTAATCCCATCTGTTCTTCTCCTTAAGCAACACGAGGTACTCTTATAGAGCTGATTAGTTGATTTTACATTATTACTTAATTTCTAAACTGAATATAGAGGCACCTAGGTGGCTCAGTGGATAGAGTATTGGGCTTGAAGTCAGGAAGACCCGAGTTCAGATCCAGCCTCAGACACTCACTAGCTGTGTGATCCTGGGCAAGTCACTTAACCTTTGTTTGCCTTACTCCACTGGAAAAGGAAAAGGCAAACCACTCCAGTATCTTTGCCAAGAAAACTCCATAGACAGTATTGTCACACTATGGTCCATGGGGTCACGAAGAGTCAGACTTAACCGAATGACTGAACAACGAAAAGACAGAATATGTTCTTGAATAATTCAATAAACCAAAGCAGCAGCCTGATTTTTATTTCTTTACAATGATGCCTTTGTGTTGATGTGATACCAATCCTAACAAAAGAACACCAGAAGAAAGAATGGCTTCTTTTACTCTGATTTTTATTTTTTCTACCTACCTTCTATAGTGGTCTCCTTCAGCTAAATATGAAAGAGTGGGGAAAGTAATAACTAGAGAGAATGGTCCATCCTTCTCTTGATATTGTATATTACAAACATAGTGCAAAGTGATTTTGTTAATATTTTCCCCCTTTCTCCTTCTGTGCTACTTGTATATCTACCTTCCGTTAACTGTAAGTGGTGGTGGCTTAAAACATGTTGAGTCAATAGTATTGGAAAGGATTTGATGGTCATCTTTTTTATCTGTGATACTTAAAGGGATATTGGGATATTTTTTCATCTTTTCTAGAATTTTAATTACTGTAAGATTTAAGTATCAGTTTTTAGAGTACTGTGTGAAATTTCTAAAGTGGATCCCATTTGTTTTTAGTGGTCTATCAATTTGAATAAAACTAGTAGCTGTATTGCCTTGGACACCTTTTTTTGCTTTTTTAACCTCTCTAGAGTTTCCTCATCTGTAAAATAATGGGAATGGACTAAGTGAACTCTAAGAGCCCTTCTAGTCCCAAATCTCAAACCTGAAAAATAGCTTTGAGAGTCTGGAAATTGAACTAATTATAGCAGTATTGCATTGAAGGGCATGGGAGAAGAACTCATTGGAAGTAACTCTGGCAACCGCAAGAGGGCTTATAATCAGAAGAGGGAGGGCCCTTTGCCTCTGCCTCCCCCGATGGAGCTTGATCTCTCCCCATCAGCTGTGGGACCTGGGTCAAGTCACTTCACTTCTGAGCATCAGTTCTTTTTTCTCTGACTGTTAACATGAAGCCAGTATTTTCAATATAGGGCCATTGTGAGGATTGAATGAGAATATATCAGTGGCACTTCGATGCTTTTAAAATGCTATATACATGGCAGTGTTTTATTATTCACATGTAATAGAGGGAGGAGGAGCATTCTGGAAACATAATATCCAAACCACTTTCAGAAGTAACTTTAAAACTAATAGAGCTGTTAAAATGCTCTGTGTCTATGTGAGTAGAAATCAAGGGACCAAAAAACTCAGGCCTCCAAGTTCATGATATTTGTAAAATGCATGTGCTACCTTTCAGTAGTCAACTGGACTGTACTACTAGTTCAGAGATGTGAGCACCTGGAAATTTGGAATTATGCAAATAAAGTGACTAAAATGTCCATACCCTTCAACCCAGCTATTCCAAAACTAGGTTTATACCCTAATGAGACTACTGATAAGAAGATATTCTCTATATACAACAAAATATTTGTAGTAGGATTTTTTGTGATAGCAAAGAATTGGAAACAGTAGATATCCATTGATTAGGGAATGGCTTGACATGTTGTGGTACGTGAATGTGTAGAATATGACTATGCTCTAAGAATGGATGGGATAAATACAGAAAAGCTTTGAAAGAGCTACATAACCTGATGCAGAATGAAGGAAGCAGAGCCAGGAAGGCATTAGACACAGTGATGACAACCGTATCAACAGAAAGAGCAACCATAAAAAATTAAAGTAAACGTTGCAAAATTATAAAAAAACAAGCATACGTTGAAAGAAGAAATATGAGAAGACACTCCCACCTCACCCATTTCCAGAAGTGGGAGGTCCACAAGCATTACATATTGTACATATTTTTAAATTTTACAGTGTATTGGTAAATTGGGCTGGTTTTTTTCCACTTTTTTTATCTTAAAAAAAATACATGTTCTATGGGATGGTTCTCTTAAAACGAAAAGAGAAAAGGATACTGAAGGAAACTGATGATGTAAAAAATGAAGGACATGAATAAAAACTTCTTTTAAAAAATAAACACAGATAAGAAAACAAAGATTTCAGAAGGAACACTAACAGGGAAGTTTGTTTATTACAAAGTTTAAAAAAAAAAGTGAATGTACCTTCTCGTGTTATATGGTTCTTTTTATCAGGAATCTTTATTGAGATTATTAGGAACTTTGGGATATTAAGAATCTTTGTCATGAGATTCCATCACAATTGTTTATATTAAAAAAAAATTTTTTTCATCTTGTTTCCCTATGTCTTTAACCCAGCACATGTTTGTTCTTCGTGAGCGCCCTGAAACAGTGTTAATAGACCTCATTCAGAGAACCAAGGATGCAGTAAGAGAGCTGGACAACCTGCAGTATCGGAAAATGAAGAAACTCCTCTTCCAGGAGGCACATAACGGGCCTGCTGTAGAAGCACAGGAGGAAGAAGAGGTATGAGGAAAGAAGGAGAATAAATGCCCCAATTTGGTTCTTCCCAGAATTTTTCTCCTTAAGAATGCAAAACTTTAAAGCATTACAGCCTGCTTTCAAAACCTCTTGTCGCTGGGACTGCTGAGGAAGAGGCCTCCTGACCTAGTGGTAGGCAGTCCCCTATTAGACTGTGAACAGTTCCCAGGTTTGTTTGCTCTAATAGCATGGAGCACACAGGACCCCCTCAGGCCTGTAGTTGAAGATTGCTAGGCCTTCTTTTAGCTAATATTTGGTAATTTATGCCAGACCCTATGCCACCTTCTGAGGATACAGAGACAAAAAACAGGGCCTGTTCTCAAGGAACTCACAATCTCATGGATTAAAGAATGCATATGATTAACTATCTGACATCACGTTTCTTTTGAATTTGCATCTTTATTTCTCCATCTTATTCCTTATTAAGATCTCAAAGCTGTTAAGTCCTTTTTGTGGGGAAAGTGGTCCTAAAAAGTGATGGGCTCTTTAATTAGCTACAGTATTGTTTTTCTGACTTGCTTATTCTGGGAGATAATATAATATTCTGGGGAATTGAGGAGTGAAGTTGGAAGGTGTAATATATTTTTAAATAACTGCCAGTAACTTTGAATTTCTATAGAATACCTGTAGAATCAGAAAATGGTACCAATAGGGAAGAATAGGTAATCTGAGGATTTGGGGTGAAGGACTAGCATTGGAAAGTTTAAATATTAAAAGTATTTATGAGAGGGGAAAGTCTAGGGGCTATCAGCTAGGAAACATGGAATAAAGAGCAAAGATTGTAAAGGTATTGTTAAACATGAATAGAGAAGAAATGCACATACCAAAAAAAAAAGGAAGCCACAGACTTTTAAATGTAAATTATTACTGTTGCAGTGATGATGATGATGATGATGATGATGATGATGATGATGATGATGATGATGATGATCATGTTGTTGATGATGTCTGAGGACCAGCCTCATGCAAGACCTTGAAAATAATCCAACCTTTTCATACAAATGGATATTTTTCTTAATAATAGAGAGCTGATATTTGGGAAGTTTTCAAATCTTAGTATTTCTTTTTCTTTTTTTTTTTGTTTGTTTGTTTTTGTTTTCCTAGGCAATGGGGTTAAGTGACTTGCCCAGGGTCACACAGCTAGAAAGTGTCAAGTGTCTGAGGCCAGATTTGAACTCAGGTCCTCCACACTTCAGGGCTGGTACTCTATCCACTGTGCAACCTAGCTGCCCCAATGTCTTAGTATTTCTTAACAAAGCAAACTTCTTTTGATAGGTCTTTCCAAAGAACATGGTAATTAGGCAACTTGGGATCAATAGTTCATTAGTAACGTAAAGATTTTAACTGAATATTCTCTCATAGGAGCAAGATCATGGTGTTGGCCGAACAGGAACAGTGAATAGTGTTGGAAGTAATCAGTCCATTCCCAGTATGTCTATCAGTGCCAGTAGCCAAAGCAGTAGTGTTAATAGTCTTCCAGATGCCTCAGATGACAAAAGTGAACTAGATATGATGGAGGGGGACCATACGGTGATGTCCAATAGCTCTGTCATCCATTTAAAACCTGTGAGTATATGTGTTTCAAAAAGACTATAATAAAAAGTGGTTGTGGTAGGGGCTTAGTTTATGTAAATCATGTACAAGTGGCGAGATTTCCAATACTTTTTAGGCAGTGATTGGCAGCCCTTCATTTAACTTGCTTCAGATGTGGAAATGGATGAAATTAACTTCCTACTTGGTAAACTGAATTTGAAAAAAGGGTTGCTTTACACAGAGATGAGAATTTGTGGCACTAATTAAATCTGTTGGAAGTTAAGTTTCACTTTGCATTGGTTAAATTCTATTTTATCTTATTTTTTTAAAGTAAATCCACTTAAATGATAAATAGAAATCAGAAATATTAGAACACAAAGAGGGAATTAGCTCTGCTACTGAAAGTGAGAGTGAGATAGCTAAAACAAGAGGGAAATTCCCCAGAGTCTCTGGGGAAGCCAGCTAGATATCAAGGACATGTCTGCTTGCAAAGTCTTTTCTATCTCTACGTTCCCTAAAGAGAACTTAGAAGGTGGTTAAATTTTAAAAACACTTTTGGGCACTACTTCTGTGTAATGTTACTTATAGTGATGTGTTTCAGCAAAGGCTCTTAGTTTCCAGGGCAAAATTAAGCTTTATCATACCTCTCTTTTCACCTCTTTTGACGCTGGTGGACTACAGCAATGAAAGATTTTATTCCCTCCCTACTAAAATGTTTCTGGTTAAGAATCCCAACTCATTCTTTTGAAAGAGTCAACACTTGGTGAACATTTCATTGTTTGAAACTGTTCTGTAAATTTTTCTTGGAGAGAGGGAAGTTGTGTAACAGCCATGTTGCTACTGAGACAACAGAGTCCTGGCATATGTGGCAAATCAGTCGTGTTTCTGTTGGTGAAGAGAGTGGCTTACGTGTGTCATTATCCTACGTGAAATGAAGAGGTGCCTTTTGAAGGCATTTGAGTAGCATGACAGCACCCTGAGTTACTATTTACTTCATCGTGACTCACAGATTCACAGTGTAAAGAATAGACTGACTGCATATTGCTCTGACTATTGACAGTCTGGGTGTACTAAAAGTGACCCTGCTTCCCACATGGTGGGAAGGATGTGAGTGTAGCCATTAAGTATTTAAGCATATCCTGAGTCTACTTCCTATATTGTGTGTTCAGGGAAGTTTCTTTGGTTTTTAAGTTGATTGTAGATGAAATACAAGAGATTCTTAGTTTTTAGGCTTGCATCTGTGTTTTTGTTAACAAGTACTTATTTAAGTAATTCATTGATCTAAGTTGTGTTTGATGGAGTCAAACTCCAAGCTTTTGTTTTCCTCAAAGGTGCAATGGAATTATGTACATATGTATATGTTTACCTGCTGTACTCTTGGTGTCATCCTCACTTATCAGGAGGAAGAAAATTACAGAGAAGAGGCAGATCCAAGAACAAGGGCATCGGAACCACAATCTCCACCCCAACAGGTGTCCCGCCAAAAGTCACATTACCGTAATCGAGAACACTTTGCTACTATCCGCACAGCATCACTGGTATGTTCTTTCTTGGGTTCTAAGATTTTAAACATATGTACATCTTACTTCAGACTCAGGCGTGTGTAGGTATATCCCCAAACATGAGTATAAATTCATTTCTTCAACAGTTCAACAGTGCCTACTAAGTACTTGGCACTTTATTCAGTTGTTATATACAGGATGCAAAGTTTAGTAAATCTAGTGATGTCAAACTCAAATAGAAATGGGGCCACTAAACCGCGTAACAACTTAGAAAACCACATAGTAATATTATCTGTATTATATTGTATTTTTACATATTTTATTACATATTTTCCAATTAGATTTTAATCTGGTTCCAGAATCTTCCTCAGGGGTCTGTGACACCTCTGAGTAAGACCCAGCCTCAGGAAGCTTGTGATCCAAGCATAAGGGTAGCATCATGTAATTAATACAAAGTAGACTAAAGTCACCATAAGAAGGGTATCAAGTGCTGCTGTAGTTCTAAGAGATTAAGAGGCAAAGGAAAGCTTCATGAAGAAGGGGGCATCTGAAATGGACCTGGGCAGTGAGGCGGGTCTAGAAGTGAAGGTCTAGGTAGAAAAGACTGGAGCATGTTTAGGAAATAGGGGACATTACAGTTTGTTCTGTACCTTCTGTGCCTCTGTCTTTAATCTACTGTTTCCCCAAATGAACATTAAAATACATATTTCTTTGTACTTTATAAGGATAGTATAAGACTAAGTGAGTTCCTTTATAAAGATGTCATGTAACCTTCCACTGTGTTTGAGTATTTTAGATTTTTATAAAGTTGAGTCCAAATCATAAATTTCAGCCAAATCAAATAAAGCACAAAATAATGTTTCCTTGTCTATCTTATGCCAAAAAACTATAGATTCTATGCATGTGTTTGTTTGTTCATTTTTTAAGCATACTAAACTTTGGAATTTTGTTTATAGCTTTCATTAATTTTGTGGTAAACTCATACTTTCCCATTCGGGAAACAAGAAGGCATTCCTGTTCTAAAATTTCACCGAGGGGGCAGCTAGGTGGAGCACTGGCCCTGAAGTCAGGAGGACCTGAGTTCAGATTCGACCTCAGACCAAACACTTGACACTTACTAGCTGTGTGACCCTGGGCAAGTCACTTAACCCCAATTGCCTAAAAGCAAAAACAAAAAGCAAACAAACAAAAAATTTCACCCAAAAAATACATTCTTTAAGAAGGCCATTGGTAACATTTATTTCCCACAGACCCCCTGGGCACCCAGCACTATTTGTACACTACCTTAAATCCAAGGAATTTTTTGCCTTATGTTGAGAGTTTATCTAAACTGTCTGAGACATAATCTAAGTCTGGGGACCCAAATCCTGCCATGTTACCATTGCTTTTCTCCCCACTCCTGGATAGAGAGATCAGTGCATAGATGTTAGATCCTTACACACTTATCAGCCCTCTAGTTGGGTGCTTCTTATACTCTCCCTACTATCGGTATAGAAATAGCAAAATTAAATCCAGGAACTTTATCTTTTGTTCCATGCAAATCTGTAATGTCCCAGTAAACGCCTGACTGGTACTAAAGTGTCTGATCAGCGCTAAGCATTGCAGGGTAATGGCCTCAGTGTTCTCTAGGCCTCACATGGTTATTCGTGTGAATTTCAAGTTTTACTGTCATCCCAAGACATTGTTGATACACGTTTAGCCTGGGGTCTCCCAACTCTTACTTCTCTTTCTGCCATGTTTCCCAGCAGTCTGTTCTTTCTCATCTGGGCCATTTCTTTTTTCCTCCAGTTATTTTTCCAAAGCAGTTGGCCCTGTTAATATTCTGCCTATGTGTTTGTTAGCCGAGGTGCTAGCCAGCTCACTGAACTCATGTGCTGACCAACTTTAATGGATATTCTATCTCATCTAGTGTAAAAGGATATAACTAGTGCTAAACCCAAGGCGGACGTCCATAGAATGCCATTCTAGAGGACTGTTGTTCTAAACTGGAAGCAATCTGCAGCCATCTGGTCTAGACCTGCCATTTTACAGATGTGCAAACAGAGGCTGGGAGAGGAGCTGGGGGCTGGAGTTTCATCCTGGGTGCTTTGGCCACAGAGCCAGTGCTCCTGCTGCCTCTGACCCAGGCCAAATGCCAGCTTTTACTCGAGACAGACATTGGGTCTTGGATGAAACTGGTCTGTTTCCAAAGGACTAGGAGGAAAAACTCTTCTTGTCTTCTCCCTCTCCTTGCCCTGACACATCTAGGTTACACGGCAGATGCAAGAACACGAGCAGGACTCGGAGCTGAGAGAGCAGATGTCTGGGTACAAGCGCATGAGGCGCCAGCACCAGAAGCAGCTGATGGCGCTGGAGAACAAGCTCAAGGCCGAGATGGACGAGCACCGCCTCCGCCTGGACAAAGACCTGGAAACGCAGCGCAACAACTTTGCTGCAGAAATGGAGAAGCTTATTAAGAAGCACCAAGCAGCCATGGAGAAGGAGGTAGGGAAACAAAAAACTGTGTCATTTCCATTTGTGTTGTCTCTTAGCACTGACAAAGAGATGACGCTTAGTGTTTTGCCTGTCTGTTCCCAGGAGCCAAGCAAATTGATAATTAGGGGAAAACCCCTTACTTGTGTAGTATCTCTCTCAAGGAGTTTCTATAACTTCAGGAAGATGATGTTTTGCTTTGTGCTGTTTGGTTGCAGATGAAGGACAGAAAGGTGGGAGTGGTTTTCTTATGTGTTCTCCCTTCATTTTAGATGATGAGCAATGCTTGTGAGTAACTGTCAGTGGCAACAGTGAAATTCTCTTTTATAGCTTTCTTAATTTTTGAGGATCAAAAATGGCTTCCAAAGACTTTGCTCAAGTTTTCTGGGGCCTGATCATTTAGACCAGGGCCTGGGGGGTCCCTTTCAACTTATCAGTTTTTGGATAAATCATTCAAAGTAGTCTGTGCCTTGGTTTCTCCACTTGTCAGATTGGTGTGGTATTACCAGCATATTATTCTATGTTGGACTTTTCTTTTTTAAATTGATTGTTAGTTGCAAGAAAATAGCTTCTGCCTACGTGATGTTAGAGCGCAGTGACTAGTTAGTCAGTAAACAACTAATGATATGAGTAGAAATAACGGGTTTGAGTCTTTCACTTTTCCTTTGGTTGTGTTGGCCATTCTTCATATAAAGGTGGTGACAGAGAAATGGTAGCTTTGTGTAAGCAACTTAATCATATGTAAGTTGAGATAGATGTTGCATCACGATAAAGTGAATGAAGCTGAAAGGTGTGTGATTCACTTCTTCTTGCTTTTTGCTAGGCCAAGGTGATGGCCAACGAAGAGAAGAAATTCCAACAACATATCCAAGCACAGCAGAAAAAGGAACTGAATAGCTTCTTAGAGTCCCAGAAGAGAGAGTACAAACTGCGCAAAGAGCAGCTTAAGGAGGTATTTCTCTTTTCATGCAAATGCTCAGGCCAGACCTAGCTCTACAGCTGGGTGAGCTGGGAGGAAGGAGTGTGCTTGGGTGACCGCTTCCTAATTGGGATCACGGTGCGTGGGAAGTGTTCTTTGACTATTGGCATTGATCTTTTCTTTTACTTTTGATTGTTTATCCATTCCCTTGTACCGAGAAATGTAAGTAAGCATGGTACATCAGGAGTAAAGCAAGCATTTTAGAAGAGATAATTAAATGGAACATGGGGAATAATTTCTTTTGAGAATGCTGTACCTGTTTGGCTTTCAGTGGTAGAAAAGATTCAAAAGTCAGACTACCAGTTGGTTTAGAGACGACAACTTATTATTACTCCAGGTATCATTGAGTAGTACCTCAGAAAACCCATAAAAGAGAGAAATGACCATCTCTCTATAAAGTCGTTTATATTCTTTGGGCCATGTGTGGAGTCAAAGGCATCTGCTCTTTTAAACCACCTACTGGTTTACAAAGAATCTTCAACAGAGACTCCCTGTTTCTAGATTAGATGCCAGTGACGCTTTTAGCTTCATTTATACTTGCTTCCTCCCTACCTTCCATGTCCTTTGAAAGGCAAGCCAGTACTTCAGCTTCAAGCCTGCATGTTCTTACAGATTTATTCAATTCTCCTGTGGGCAGAAACTCATATCCTTATTAATAATTAATAGTAATGTGGTCAAATGTGACATACGTAACTTTGAATAAGTCAAAAGCCACTTTTTTTATTTTAGGAAAGAATGTGAATTTGTGCTAACAAAAGTGTAATTTTTTTTTTACTCCAGTAAGGACAACTGGCCTCGGCATATCAGCTTATCAGTCATAGTTTGTGTTCTCTGTCTTGTTTGATCAAGCCTTTTATTTTGTCTTTTTGAATTATTAAGCCAGCATTTAGATAGTTCTCAAGGTACTTGACATATGTTATCTCTTTTTATCCTCACAACAGCCCTGGGAGGAAGTGCCTTTAGTAGAATGACAATGAAATTAATCGTTCATGAGAATGATTATTTAAATGAAGTCTCTAGATAGAAAAATGATCTAATTGTATACTTGTAATAGATACTAATAACAAAACTCCTATCATTTGGGAATCTTACAATATTTTTTTAAATTAAAAGGGATTTTCCTACACTAAAAGGTTGAAAACCACTGTTCTTAGAGCACTTTCAATGGCAGATAATTTTTTTTTCCTTACAAACTGATTGCCTGAAATATTTCAGAGATCCACATAATTAACAATATAAGATGACGTGATAATAAGACGTGGGTATTCTGTGTAATATATTACATATTCCTTTTCATGTGTTCATCATCTCATCAGAAGGTAGCAATCTACATATTGCTGCTGGTCAAAGACTTATTTATTTTATTTTAATTTTTTTGTGCATGAGGCAATTGGGGTTAAGTGACTTGCCCAGGGTCACACAGCTAAGAAGTGTCAAGTGTCTGAGGCCAAATTTGAACTCGGGTCCTCCTGACTCCAGGGCCAGTGCTTTATCCACTGCACCACCTAGCCGCCCCTGGTCAAAGACATATTGCCTGTTCTGCCACGCACAGTTTTAGTGATTAGGCTTTGCCAAGTGAATGTCTTATATGATAATTCTCTGTTATAAATGAAAACTTAAATTCTAAAATACATTTCTCAGATATATTTACTATAAGATTATTATTAGATATCTGTATTTAATGACAAGTGTATCTGGGTTGTCTGAATTTGACATTAATAAAAATTATCAGAACAGTGACCACTCTTCAGGTAAATTGGGTAACAGAGAAATGGTGTTTTTAAGTAGCTAGCTAAGTAAGTCAGATTTGATGATTTCCCACATGTATTTTCTCTGTAGCTTAACCTATTAACTGATTTTGTTTTTAGAAGCCATATTTTTTTCTGTTATTCATGTGTCTTCATTTTGGTAGAAGATGGAGTGATACTGAGAGCTCAAATTTTGTAGTCATCTTGTTGGGACCAGCATTATATGAATTTTATTTAAAGCTTATCAATTCCAAAGAATTTTCAGTCATATCATCATAGCTAATTTTGATATTGTGTTTAGACTGTGGAAACTGCTGAAGACTTTAGATCAGTCCATTGGCCATTCTGTCATTCACATTATTAAGTCTGTTGGCCATTTTTGCCCTCTTATTGATGTAAAAACATTTTTGTTGGGATGGGTGGGTGCAGTCATGGTTGGACTAAGGTAAGAAACCATGGGCTTGAGAGATTATCTTAGAGTTCTAAGGCCTTTTACAATGGTCTCTACTCTGCTACGCATTATTGCTTATTTTTCCACTTCAAATTCTCCTACACTGACTTCAGAATTTTATTTAAACCTTCACACCACTAGTCTTTATAATCCGTAAAAGCAAGAGATATGATGTCACTTAATAACTATTTCAGCCCCACATTTTATGCCTTCTAGCATTCTTGAAGGGGGGTCTTTTACGATATTGTTGCAGGACAGTGTGGTGCACCATAGCCATTGTGGGCTTTCTCAGCTGTTACTCCTGATTCTGCAGCTTTTTAAAAATGGAGCCGTTTGAAGCTAAAATGTATGTGCTTCCTGGTGCCCAGGCCAATTGTCCTTTCCTCACAGACTATTAATGCCACGAAGGAACAGCACACTGTTCTGGGGCACTCTGGGGACCGAGGTTGTCTAGTGCTGAAAGAGCATCTCAAGGACAGCATTTGGCCCCTGCAGGCAATCCTGAGTCTCTTTTTTATCGACACAGATGGGCAAAGGGATAAAAACCATCACAACCTGCTGGGGTTGTCGCTGACTTTGATTGCACATGACTAATAATATTTGGTCTGAATTATTTTGTCAGGAGCTAAATGAAAACCAGAGTACCCCAAAGAAAGAAAAGCAAGAATGGCTCTCCAAACAGAAGGAGAACATTCAGCACTTCCAAGCAGAGGAGGAGGCCAACCTCCTAAGAAGGCAGAGGCAGTACCTGGAGCTGGAGTGCCGGCGCTTCAAGAGAAGAATGCTGCTTGGCCGTCACAATCTGGAGCAGGACCTTGTCAGAGAGGTGTGTTAGGATGGGGCAAGAAACACTCAGAGAAGGCCTTTCACATGCGCAGTATGAATAAATGAATGGGACCACAGAGAGAGCTGTCTTCTAAGTTACACGTCATGAGTGTGTGTGCTGGGTCCAGTTCAGTACATTTTTTTGAATCCTAATCCTTTTAATTGGTCTACTGTTGTAGAAATCAGAATGTCAGATATTCACCCTCAATATCTCCTAGCCTCTAGCAACTCTGACTTTCACTTTCATTGGATAGGATGGGTTAAAAATAAGTTTTAGATATGGTGTAAACCTATTAATAATTTGGTGAATAGTATAGAATGCCCCAGAGTATAAGGAGATGTGTGCTACCTGATGCCAAGTAATGCCTATTCAACTCTAGCAAAAGACCCCAAATCATTGCATCTACTCTGTGGCCATACTTGTCAGAACTGCATTTTTTTAAAAACTCTTTCCTATTCATGCATCTTAGGATGTGTGTATGTAGTCCACAGTAACAGTTCATACCCCACTGTCTTTCATGTTCTGGATTAGGAGTTAAATAAAAGGCAGACCCAGAAGGACTTAGAGCACGCCATGCTCCTGCGACAGCATGAGTCCATGCAGGAGCTTGAGTTCCGCCACCTCAGCACCATTCAGAAGATGCGCTGTGAGCTGATCAGGCTGCAGCACCAGACGGAGCTCACCAACCAGCTAGAGTACAACAAGCGGCGAGAACGCGAGCTAAGGCGCAAGCACGTCATGGAGGTTCGGCAGCAGCCCAAGAGTCTGAAGGTATGTGAGCAGGGAAATGTGTCTTTCCTGGGCCTTGAATCTTTCTCTTCATGACACTCTCTGTGGCCCATTCCCCTCTCCCAAACAATACCATCTTTGTATCATTCTGGCATGTTCTTTCCTCTGATGTGAGCACAGTTAAGGAAGAAAGGCACAAACCTAAGTGAAGGTGATTGCCACTAACTTAAGAACAAATCCTATCTCTGGTTACTACGGGGACCATCTCAGAGAAAAGTAAAGGGACTCACACCACCTGTTCCCGTTCCTACCCATGTACCTCTTGACCCTGACAGTCCATGTCATTAAAGGCTTGTCACAAGTGACCAGAAAGCAAACTTAATTCACATATATATGACAATTTTTCTTCATAAACGTTTTCCAAATAAAGCAGCTTTTTTGGTCTGGCCTGTCAACAATGGAGCGTTATTCAATTCTGCTCATTTGCTCATGCATAAATGTGGACATTTAAATTTTTAAAATACTACTGATTGGTGGTGTCTGATATGAGAAGAGAGGAATAGAATAAGCTGCTTATTAAGTAACTGCAGCCTCCCTCCTCTGGTCTCCAGAGGAGTTACCCAGGAGAGGGTAGAGTAGATCAGGTGCATGAAGGAAATTTCACTCTCTATTGATCTCACACCAGTTTGCTGTCTCCATCAACTTAAATTATGGACTTTTAACCTTCTAGCTTATGTTGAAAAATTTAGGTTCGGCAATGACTTGACAAGTTTGTTCTCTGCACTTTCTATCTTCTTTGTGCTCTGCTGCTGAATGAATGGATGCTGTCTGCAACAGAAAAGGTTTCTAAAATAAGATGCATTTTATTTGTGATTCCAACGCCAGCAGCCCCTAGAGGGTCATCTAACTTTACAGTGCCTGGTTTGTTATGGCTTTGTCATTTCTTCAGCCATTAGACCACCAGCCTTTTATTCCCCCAATGTCTAGGGAAGGATGGACCAGCATATAGTGGTCACGTGGTTAGCAGTGAACTTTACCCCTCCTTTCTGCTTCCTGTTGTGACTTCTTTCAGATTTGGAAGAAATCAGTGGGGTTGGCTCTCCAAGAGACTCTTCACAGAAAGTTAGGAAAAAATCATGGTTGTTCATTAGTTGTGGCTAGACTTTTAGTAGAGAGAATCCCTCCCCCTGGGGTGGGGGGTGCCATAGACTCAGCATTTCTATTTGGGAAATGGATATATTAATTTAATAAGGAGAGTAATCAGTATGTTTCCCTTCATGTTGTAATTTACCTACTTGTTTTATGTGAGTAAGAATGCCTTTTTGTTCTCTATTGAAGATGATTCTTCTCTCTAAAGTAATCCAGCTTTTATTTAGGGGTTTTCCCTCTCTGCATTTTAAATTTAATCCAAGTTAAACTTTTTATCCTATCTCACTTGCATCCCTGATGATTTAGTAGCATTCCATGATTTCTCTTTTCCTCCCTTTGAAGTAAACTCCCCTCCTCATAACTGCTTGGAGAGTCCTCCTTTTCTACCCTCAGGCCACTGAGATAGAGAGACTGGATACTTCTCATTTTGTAGTATTTGAAATATGAAAACTTGTTAAAGAGTGGTGCATGATGGTAATAGCCTTTGATTCTTTTCTCAGCCCAGTTTCTAACTGGAAGAAACAGGGAGATTCTAAAGACTAGGCAGTTCGCTTCAGAGATACGGTACCACATATACGTATATATATATATAAATTACATTTTCCACTTAGCCAAAAGAAATCTCTCAAGACCTCCAGTAAAATCAAGACATGTGACTGTGACATGGAGTCTCAAGGGAGTGGGTGGAAATTGAGGAAAGAATAGACTTGATGTCATCCAGAGTGAATAAGGACACCCTGCCAGAAACCAGGCCTTTAGAGTGGGGGTGGGAAACAGCCTGGGCCAATCAGATTGCATATCAGCTGAACACTCACAATTATAATTTTCTCTCAGTAGAGAGGAAAACTCCTTAGAAAGATCAGACTCCTAGTGCAAAGAATTTAGGAATGTATTTTCTCCAAGTGAAACCAAAAACAAAAAAAATACTCTTTTCTTACACAGTATGTATCTCATATGATGTCCATTGAATCAGTGTATGGATGTATGTAGGTACAGTTACAGAGAGTAGACGACTTTTAGTCTGGTAAGTGTTTGCATCCTCATGGGGAAGTGTCTGCAATTTAAAATTCAGTGGTCAGTCAACTTGAATTTATTGAACACCTACGTTGTTCCATGAGGGTAGAGAGACACAAATGAACCTGGCCCTCTAGGAGCTTGCACTCTATTGGAGGAGACAGTGTGTATGCTAATTAGTATATGCCAAATATGCAGTAATTTGGGGGGAGGGTGCATTAGGAACTGAGAAGGTGAGGATGGGCTTTATGTAGAAGGCAGTGTAGAGCTGAGTCTTGGAGAGACTAAACTACAGGTGGGGAAATGGCCAGTACAAAAGCTTGGAAAAGGGAGAGGGAATGTTATCTGAGAGGCACAGCATGTTAACCAATTTGGTTGGACCGTGGTGGGCAGCACAGGGAATAATGGGGATTGTTAAAGTACAGAAGGTAGCTTGGACATGGCTAATGTGGACATATGCTGTGCATGACTTTCCATGGATAATGGGTATTGCATTGCTGGTTTTCTCAGTAGTTAGAGGAGGACGAACTGGGAGAGGGAGAGAATTTGGGAGTGAAAAATTTAAAAATAAATGTTTAAAACTTAAAAAAAAAAAAAAAAAGGAAAGGTAGCTTGGGGCTGAGAAACCAGGGTAGGTCGTTGGGACGAATCAGAGACAAGGGTCCTTTTCTACCTCTAAACTCAGTTTACTTTATCTTCAACACAGATCCCAAAAGAATAGTGACTATTTCTGTTCTGGAGCCTCAGTTGGATGTGACTTTGTATAACTGTTTTCTAGACTATGGAAAGATTAAGCATTGATTTTATTTCCAGTCAGTCAGTGAGCATTTATTAAAATGCTTACTTATGTGCTCGAGACTGGCTGGGAATACAAAGAAAGGAAAAAATGCTGGTCTTGGCCACAGGAAGCTCACTTTGTAATGAAGCAGAAGTATGCCTAGAATGTATACAGTATAGATGGAACGTAACTCTAGAAGGGTGGCATTAGCAACAGAGGGACTAGAAAAGATCTCCTGCTGGAGTTGGGGTTTGACCTGACTCTTGAAAAAAGCCAATGAAGCAAAGGAGGTGGAGGTGAGAAGAAGCAAAGTGTAAAAAGACTGGAAAGGTAGGAAGGGCTTTACATGCCAAACAGAGGATTTTATTGGAGGACTAGATTCAATCCTGGGGTAATGCATAGCTCGTGGAGTTTATTGAGTAGAGGATTTTAAGGTCAGACATGCACTTTATGAAAATCACTTTACAGCTGAGTAGAGAATGGATTGGGGTGGGGAGTGACTTGAGGCAGGGATGCCAACTGGAAGGCTGTTCTAATAATCCAGGCAAGTGACAATGACCTAGTTTGCAGTTGTGTGAGGTGGAGAGAAGGGGATTTATAAGAGAGACATTGTGAAATTAAAATGACAAGACTTGGCAGCAAATTACATCTATTTGGGGTGAGTGAAGGGAGTGAGGGTTGCAAGTGTGGGTGACAGGGAGGATGGTGGTGCCTTTAACAATAATAGGAAGGTTGAGAAGAGGGGATGGTTTAGTGTAAAGATAATCAGTTTTAGGGGGACATGTTGAGTTTGTCCACAGTCACCTAGCTTTTATTAAGTACCTACTATGTGTTAAGCACTGTGCTAAGTTTTAGGGATACAAAGGCCCAAAAAATTCCCAAAACAGGCCCTGTTGTCAAGTAGGTCATAGTCTAATGGACATCCACTTTGAGATGATAAAAAGGGAGATCATTATATGAGACTGGAGCTCCAGAGATAGATGAGGGATCGATCCCTAGAGACGGTGTGATAGTACAGAAGCAGAAGAGAAGGCCCATTACGGAGCCTTGGGGATGTCAGTAGGCATGGCTTGGATGCAGTTCCAGCAAAGGAAACTGGGAAGGATCAAGTATAAAGAAAAGTAGGAGAGAATAATGGCATGAAACTTGAAGAGAAGATGCTGCTTAATGGTACCAAAAGCTACAGAGATGCTAAAAGTGAGGAGGAATGAGAAAAGACTCTTTGTTTTGGCAATTAAGACATCATTGGGTAACTTTGGAGGGAGCAGTTTAGTTGAATGAGGAGTTTGGAAGCCAGATTGCAGAGGGTTTATTGGTGAGTGGGATGAGAGGAACTAGAGGTACTGAGTGTAAGCAGCTTTTTGCCGGAGTTAAGCTGAGAAGGAGAGGAACATGTGCGACTATACCTAATGGGGATGGACAAATCGACTGAAACTTCTTTGAGAATGGGGAAGACATAGGGGTAGAGAAGAGTGAGGTTGATAATGTGGGGACAGTTTACTGGAGATGAGAGAGAATGAGATCAAGGGTACATGTAGAGGGATTTGTTTATAGGAGGGGAAGGAGAAGATAGTGTGGTGAGATGAGACGAGATGTGTGTGTGTGTGTGTGTGTGTGTGTGAATGTGTGAGAGAGAGAGAGAAGTATGAGGTGAGGTTCTCAGCTGAGACTCTAGGGAAGAGCATGAGAATGAATGAAGGGATTTAGAATAACTGTTATGGTGAATGATGGGACAAATAGACTCGGGAGGGGTAAAAGGATTGCCTTGCTATGAGGGCCCAGCTGAGATTATTTAACATTAGTTTGTAGTGAACGTAATCAGAGCAGCTTTAAGATTTTTCTCCAGCTTTATTCAGTAGCACATAAATAGGAATGAAGTTTACAAGATGGTTAGAGTAATCCACTGTTAGAGTTGGGCAAGATGTGATTGGAGATAGGACAGGGACAAGGGATTCAAGTGTAGAATTGAGCCAGTTTGTCATTGGATAGAGATAGGAAAATAAAGCCATTGAAGGGTTCATGGCCTAGGAAGTAACTGAAAGGTAGGGAGAGTAGAAGTCACAGTGAGTAGCAGAACAGGCTCAGGAGCTGCACAGCATACGGAAAGATGGGGTGATAAAAGATTATGCGCCAATAAAGGGATTTTGGAATTTGTGAACATATGCACACTTGTATGACCGCCTTGGTATGTAGCTGAGGTAAAATGCAGGAATAAGTCATGGAAACTAATAGACTGAGCAACTGGGAAGTTAAAGTCCTTTAGCATGAGGGCAGGGGGCGAGGTGAAAAAAGACTGTGAGTCAGGCACTGAACTCACTGAGGAAAGGACAATGTCCCGGAGTCAATAGATAACGGCCACCAGGATCTTGATTGGTGATGAATTCAAGCATCAAGGCCCTACAGGAAAGATGATCCTTAGTGATGGTGGCAGAGGGAGCCAGGAGTATTCCAGTTCTACCAACACAACAGTGAGTCAGGGGTTGTGAGTAAAAGTACAACCAGTACTAGAAAAGATGGCCAGAGAGGCTGTCTCTCTCATCAGGAGGGAGCCAGATTTCAGAGCCAGAAGATGGAAGGACTAGGAGAGAGAAAGCTTTAAGGAGGAAAAGTCAGGGTCAATGAACATTGATTAAGCACTTACCATGTGCCTTTAAGCTCTTGAGATACAAAGAAAGGCATGTGACAGTCCTAAGAAGAAGCTGAAAAGTCTAGGGGGGATGATGAGAAGGGGAGTGGGCAAGTACCCATTGTGGGGCTACCAGGTGGGAAAATGATGAGATCAGAGCCCTCCTTTAATAGTGGAAGATCTGAGAGGAACTCTCCAGTGTGCCCCCACTAGCCACCCTCTCCAGTGGGGGGGAGCTAAGGAGGCACAGGAGTTTCAGTTGATTTCATCTTGCAGAAAGTTTATGGGGGGTCATGAAGTCCAGGAGAGCAGCTGATTGGGAAACGATGTGATTTTGTTACCAAGGGAGCCAGCTCTTAGTGAGTGCCAGAAGATGGAAAAAATAAGAAAAGCAAAAGTGTCAGGTGAAAGGAAGTGTATAAATTACATAGGGTCAGGGTCCCAGAAAGAGTGGGCAGGGTGAGATGGAGCTAGATGGGAGGGAAGGAAGGGAGTGGCAGGTGGAGTGGGTTTCCATATTTGCAACTGGGGGTTCCTAATCACTGAGATGAGGATGGTATGAGGAAATGTGTATTATGCTAATCCTGGAGAAAGAGTCCAGGCATTCTGGGGGTGGGATCATTTATTGAAAGAAGCCAGATGATTAGACGATTTAAGCTCCTCCTTCAGGTTGTGTCCTGTGAATGACCAGGAGGCCTGCTTTGCAACCAGCAGAGCAAATAGAAGGAGTCTGATCAGGAGACAGGAGATAGCAGTGTGAGGCAGGCTAGCTAACTCAGGGAGCAGGCCATGCTCCCAGGGGCGTTCTTCACAGTGCTTGTGAGGGAGGGGGTGCTAAGAAGGAGGCAGTCACCAATACCTTATAATTGCTTTTGTCTGTGCTATTGGAGAGTAAGCCATTTCCAAAGGATCATTATACTCAGCTTATCCCCTGAAAGAGAAAGACAGCAGCAGTATTAGTGGAGTAGGAAAAACTTCGCAGTCAACCTCAAGTGTGCCACAGTCCATTTGTCTTATTCCGGGTGCATGGCCAATCACATAACTAGAACTGAAATTCTACCTACCATCAGAGGGGGGTCAGGGCTGAGCATGAGATGGTGTGCTTTCCTTCTGTAAAACCTGGCTCACAGAAACCTTGATGCTCACAGCATACTAATTCATAAAGGTCCTTTGAATTTGTACCTCTGTGGGCATCACGAGGATTATCATGCCAATCCAGAGTCCACTGAATGAATCCCTGAAGTCATGACCAAGTTGGCCAGAAAAGGCACGAACACTGTTGAGAGCTGGGTCATCAATAGCATCTTTGTGTCCTGACGCATGTTGAAACTAGAGCTTTTCTGATCCAGATGCCAACATTCCAAGTGTTGAGTGAAGGCAGCTGCGGCCTGGGGTCCCATCTGTCATTTGTGTTGTTCCCTGCACTTCTCCATTCTTTTCCTTTAGGCTTGTATTAGAGCATCCTGAGGTCTCAGATTCTCAAGATAGGAGTGACTTGAAAACCTGACTGATGCTCTTTTCTCCCTTCTTTCAGTCTAAAGAATTGCAAATAAAGAAGCAGTTTCAAGATACCTGCAAGATCCAGACCAGACAGTACAAAGCCTTGAGGAACCACCTGTTGGAGACCACGCCAAAGAGTGAGCACAAAGCAGTTCTCAAGCGGCTCAAGGAGGAGCAGACGAGGAAACTGGCCATCCTCGCAGAGCAGTATGATCACAGCATTAACGAAATGCTCTCCACACAAGCTGTGAGTGGCTTTGTCTGTGCTGGCTCTGGCAGGGTCTGCCCTTCCCCACAACCAGCCAAATGACATGAGGGTAGCCAGAATAGCCTTAGGAAGCAAAGGGCCTGGGCAGTAGTGAAAGTGACCTTTGCTCCATCACTGCTCTGATGTGGAGAATGAATCAGCATTGAAACTTACAGATTCAGAGCTTTGCTAGCCCCTTCTTGTCACCCTGAGCCACTTCATTTTCTGAAGAACAGGATTGGGTCCCTTCTAACTACCTACAGTCAGTAGTTTTAGCTGGGCGACTCGGTGGGCCAATAAGCAGTATTACATTGAGAGCTCCCCCCATTATCCCATTTGAATGGAATGCCGCTGCTTTTCTGTTCTCTCCCTTTGGTGAGTGAAAAATAAAGAAGCTTGCATTATTTAGCCTGATCCCAGATTTCTCAAGCACTGTGCAGGCTAGCTTAGAGAAATCTTATCTTTGTTTACAAGAGTTAATAATTGCATGCTTAAAAAAAAAAACCCTTCCATATTCTCCCTTTCCCTTTCCTTGTCCTCCCTCAAGCGGGTCACCAGGGGCATGCTTCTATGTAAGTTGGGCCTCTTTTCTCCCCTCCCAGCTACGTTTGGATGAGGCCCAGGAAGCAGAGTGCCAGGTCTTAAAGATGCAGCTGCAGCAGGAGCTGGAGCTGCTCAATGCATATCAAAGCAAGATCAAGATGCAGGCCGAAGCCCAGCATGACCGGGAGCTCCGAGAACTGGAGCAGAGGGTGTCCCTCCGCAGGGCACTCTTAGAACAAAAGGTATGTCTGACCAACTCGGTCTTATACCAGAGTGTCTTGGAGGCAGTTTCTTTTGTTTGCATCTGGTCATAAGTTCATGCTGCTGATGCTAGTGAGTGACCTCACAATTTTAAGGGCTGACTGTGAAGGAAGGGGTGGGATTCAGACAAGAGGGACCCTAAGACTGGGAGACAGCAGTCACCAGAGCGTTAGGACAGCTTTGGGAGTGGAGAAAGGAGGAGATGGTGCCGTTTGGCTGGAATGGTCAGGAGCAGGTGCCTGGCTACCATTGTCTCTGTCTCAACCCCAAACAAATTCTTTGAATTAAAGAGGAGTGTTGCCCATGCCAGGCCCTTTGCTGTTCACACGACTGAAAAGTTGGGCAGAAAAATTGACGTTGTGGTGGAACTCATATTATTGTATAGCTTTGGCAGCATCAACACGTGTGGTGGCAACGATTGGGAATTCTTTTCCCTTATTGGATCCAACTAAGCAATCACCATATTGTGTGTGCGTGCATGCGTGCGTGCATGTGTGTGTGTGTTTGTGTGCGTGTGCGTGTGTGCGTGTGTGCGTGTGTGTGTGTGTGTGTGAGATGGAAAGAAAACGACCGGGTCTGAAGCAGAAGCAAGAACAAATAAAGAGAAGCCTTTAGAGGAGGCTGCCAGTGGTCATAGGGATAGCGTGTTAGATCTGCAAGATTTTTGGGGGCCAGCTAGTCCTCCCTCATTTTATAGAGCAGAAAAACCAAGGGATGGGGAGCAGTTTGCCTGAGACTGCAGAGCCAGTCAGTGACAGTGTCATGACTAGAACCCAGGTCTCTCCTTTCCTCTTTTGATTATTCTTCAAATGTGGCACCATCTCAGGTGCTCCTTAGGGGGACGTTCCAGGCTGTCTTGCATTCACTGGGCCTTGGCCGTATGTTTGGACATGGAAACTTCCCTACAGCCTTCCTTGTTAGGTTTCCCCTTTTTTTTCCACGATCAGCATAGATCATCTGTCCCACCGATTCTCTTAATTCTTGCCTGCTCTGCTGTCCTCACTGCTTTCTGTGTAGTGTGTGGTGTTCCTCCATCCTCACATTTCCTCCTGGAGCAGGTGGAGTAAAGACAGAATGCCTGGTTAAGATAAAGTACAACTTTTCTTTTAGCCACCTAAGTTCACGTTTGTGACTTAGTGGTTGACACGGCTGACTGCTTCAAGAAGTCCATTTTCTTTACTATTCAGTGTAGTAAAACCAAAACCAAATGCTTATCTTCAAATTTGGGGGGGAAAAATCTGTTTACAAACAGGTAAATCTGTTTGCTGAATTTAGGCTTTTCGATTCAGCATCGATTCTAAAGCCTCAATGTAAAATTGTCTTTTGCACTCATGAAAAATGATCAAAGGGGACTCCTTCCCCTCTTCCCAGCTCTTCTCCCCAAATAATTAGGCAATCTTAGCAGCAGGAAGAAATGATGGAGTGATTGCTAGGTTGTGTTTTAGCACCACCTAGTGGCTCTATACCCTCATTATTGGATTGGTCTCTGTTTTTGTCTTCTCTTGGTATCCAACGGAAATTCTACATTTCTAATGCCATGGTGAACATGGCCTCCTGAAATGCAGGTCCACAATGGCTCCTTGAAAATCAGTCAGTATAATTGACATGTCAGATGTTTTAGAAGCATCTGTTTTCAAATGTGACTTGGTTTTCCAAGGATAGTTTCCATATTTTAATTCTGTAATGTTATAATAAGTTATAATATGTCACACAGTTACCTAATTGTTACACAGTTGCCTGATAAAAAGAAATTTAGACTGAACAAACACCAAAGCAGTATTTTTTAAACTATCTGTCACGTTGGGTTTACAAATGAAAACTATTCCCCTAGAAATGACCCAGCAGAAGTGGGTTTTAGTTGTTTCCAGATGGATAATCGTTTGTGACATGGAATTGTTTTAAGCTTAATGTAAGTTCTCACAGACTAAGCCACCAAGCAAATGAACCACATAAGTTCCCCTGTGAATGAGTCTATACTTTTATTTTTCTCAGCTTTCACTTAGATTCAGCTTGCATCTACATGATCCAGAATGTTATGTGCCAAATGGGAAGGATCCCGAGTTGTCCTCTTAGCCCATTCTCAAAGTGGCCTTACTTCCAAAGGGCAAGTGAGCTTTGTGGTGCTCTCGGCCAGGATAGCATCTGGGAGTGGGGGGGGGTGCTGAGACTCCTGTCAGAATAAGCATACAATGCTCTTAGCATCCTGACTGGAGACCTTTCCTCTGGAAGCTTGTCCACTTCTCTTTGGAGCTTTCATGAAGGTCAACATTTCCTGAGAAATTGTACAGTGGGTTGGGAGAAATCGGACCATATTGGCCCACTTGGTGATTTTCTGATGAATTCGCTCTTACCTTCAACTTAAGGATGTTTTCAAAGAAGTGATTACTTATGTGTAATGCCGGTCGCATGTGAATTTGTTTTGGCTTAATGGAAAGAAGTGGTTAGTGCCTTTTAAAAAGTGTTTTATTGATGATGCTTTGATGCTTCTGACACTCCACAGTGAGCCTGCCCCCTCTAGAGCCCTCTCTGCTAACACAGAAGTACAGTTAAACAGGACACATCAATCCATTGGGCATAGCCGGAAACATGCAGGATGTGTATTTGTGCCTGTAGTCTGCCGAGAGGCAAGAGGCTGGCTTCCCTGGCAGGCCCACTCTGGGCTTTTCATGAGCCACACTGTGCTCTTGCCATCTTGGGAGGAGAATTGATGAGAACTGATGAGACATTGACGAGGTGTTTGGGGAATAATGAGAATGAGCATAAAGGCACTGAATGCCCTTTGACACCAGCCTTCACCCACTCGACAGTCCAGCCAGCCTGGCCCCACTGCTGCTCCACGCACACGTGCACAGACACACACACACACACACACACACACACACACACACACCCCCTCTTACCTCCCATCTCTGTGCTGTGCTTGGAAGGCAGGCCTTCCTTCTGCTTCTCAGAATCCCTCATTTCTTTTGGACTGGATTTCTGTGCGACTGGCTGCAGGAAGCCTTTCTAGATCTCCCTGGCCGCTAGTGCTTCCTCCAGAAAAATTCCCCTGGCTCTGATGTACATGTACTTACTGGTGCACATGGTGTATTACGCAAGAGAGTATAAGTGAGCTTCTGATGGTCAGGGACTATTTGATTTTTGCCTGGCACTTAATTGGTGCCTTAATATTGATTGGCTGAGAGCCCCCATGGTATTGCCTGAACCAGTGTTATTTTGTGATGTTTTCATTGATACTTTATAACCAAATTTCATTGGAATATCAAAGAACCGTAAGAACCAGTGAACAGTATGAGAGTTGTGTGTTATGGCCTCCTCTCAGGCTAGAAACTGATGTTGGCAAGAACATATGCCACATGTAAACCTGAATTGACACCATTATCTAGCAGCATCTTCTGTAAAAGATGACCTTATTTTCAAGCCAAATATTCTGTACTTCTGTTTAATCAGATTAAATTTTAGGTGACTGATGACCAGATTCTTAACCAATTTATCAGCTATTCAACACATAGTAAATCTTTGCCTGCTTTTAGCTTGAGCTGGAAATATAACATTTTGGGTTATACCTGTAATAGCAATAGCTAGGAAGTTTTGTATTTGCAAGAAGTTAGGAAATGATTAATAAAAGAAAGTAAATGCATGTGATATTTAGGTGAAGAAACACTTGAGTGACTACATTTGCTAGAAGATGAGAGAAAGGAAGATGATCAGAAGCCATTGTAGAATCAGAGTAGGTAGAAGGGCCTTCAGGGACCACCAGAGCCAGGCCCTTCCCCTGCCAGAGGAGGAAAGAGAGACCCAGAGGAATCAAGTGACTTTTCTTGCTTTTAAATTCAGTTTTCTTTTATTTTCAGTTCTGCATTCTCTCCCTTCTTCCCCTGCCCCGTTTATTGAGGAGGCAAGAAAAACAAAGCCCCTTACAGACCTGTATGGTTGCACAGAAGATATCCCTGCATTAGCTGTGTCCAAAAACAAAGAGAAATTAGGTGACTTTTCCAAGGTCACAGGGTTGCAGGCACCAGATCTGTGGCTTTTTCCACTGTACCATAATGCTATCTTAGACATCCTTGTTTACTGATTTAGAACTTTTTTACCTAATGAAACTGTGGTTAAAGTTTACCACATAAACAGGATATTTTTCTCTTTTAATTCCCCATCTATCTATTCTAGCTATCCCAGATCCTTTACTTAGTTTGACCTCTAGAAGTCCTCTGAATTTGGTTTTTAGTTTAAAATAAAATGAATATATGGAAGTGAAATATTGGATAAGATTTGGGAGTAATTAAGGTACTGTAGGAGAAGTACATACAAGTCATATTACCAGTTAGAATGTGTTGCGAGAGCAGGGTACCATGCGGCTTCAGAGGATGAAGACGTCCAGAAGAGCCAAAGTTGACGTCAAGGAAGCGATGGCGTTTGAAAGGGATGAAAAGTATTTCCATAAGTAGAGCTGGGAAGAAAAAGGGTGTTCGATTGTAAGGGAATATTAGGAAGGCCCCAGAGGGAGGGGAAGTGGAGGTGACATGTGGAAGTTGAAGGGAGAGTTGATAAGTATTTGGTCTCTAAAAGTTGCTTTTTTCCTCCTTTCCGACCAGATTGAAGAGGAAATGTTGGCCTTGCAGAATGAACGCACAGAACGAATACGAAGCCTGCTCGAGCGTCAAGCCAGAGAAATTGAAGCTTTTGACTCTGAGAGCATGAGGCTAGGTTTTAGTAATATGGTCCTTTCCAATCTCTCCCCTGAGGCGTTCAGCCACAGCTACCCTGGAGCTTCGGGTTGGTCCCACAATCCCACTGGAGGGCCAGGCCCTCACTGGGGTCATCCCATGGGTGGCCCACCTCAGGCTTGGGGCCATCCAATGCAAGGGGGACCCCAGCCATGGGGTCATCCCTCGGGGCCGATGCAAGGGGTGCCTCGAGGCAGCGGCATGGGAGTCCGCAACAGCCCCCAGGCTCTGAGGCGGACGGCTTCTGGGGGACGGACAGAGCAGGGCATGAGCAGGAGCACAAGTGTTACTTCACAAATATCCAATGGTTCACACATGTCTTATACATAACTCCAACAACAATCGTGCGTGGCAATTCCACTGGAGCTGTCTGCCAAAAGCAACTGCCGCCTCCAGACGTCATCACCACAGCCACGTCACATGGGCGCCGCAGTGTGGGAGCTGAGTGCATATGGGACAGTTTGTTCATTTTGTAAAGCGTTCCGTTCTGTGTTTACTAATGGGATGTCATCGTATTTGGCTGCTGGGTGTGGTTTTTTGTTTTGTTTTGTTTTATTACTTTGGGGGGCGCAGGCATGATATGAGTGAGCAACCCCTCTGCGTGTAATGGAAGGCATTGGCCAGAAAGGGGCATTTTTTGAATGCAGTCCAGGGGGCTTGCATTACCACTTCCTGGGGGCCTCAGTCCTCAGAGGCTTAATGGAAGGTTTAGAGCCTTCCTAGTTTCCCACAATTCTTCAGAGCTGCTCACGGCAGGCAACATGTGTTTGCTAAGCTAGCTTAGCATGTGGGCCAGACCTGCATTCCCTCCCCACATTATAATTCTTGTTAAATTGGCCTGGCTTCTTAGTGTCCCCAGAGCAGGAAGAAAGGGGTCACCTCCACAGACACCAAAGGTTTCCGGGGAGCAGAAGCAGGTTTGCCTGGTTTTTCTTTATTTTGGGGAGGAGCTGCTTGGGCTTGTTAGTGGTCCAGACCATCCTGGTATGCTCTTTGTCCAGGTGTTTCTTAAATCAGGAGACCATTATATCACCAGATCTTTGAGCCTTGGAAGGGAAGAGACTCAGTTCTCTTCTAGTCCGTGCTGTGGTTTTCCAGCACAAATGGGGGCAGGTAAAGGCTGCAGATACTGCACATGGGCTGCTCTTCCCATTGTAGCCAAATCACTCTGGAACCCCAGCTCATCCTTGTGCTCCCTTCTTGAAAACAAAAGATACCCAAGGCCAGATGTATTTGAAGGATGCCATGTTTGCAAACTGCTGCCTGTTGGAATTCTTCCCACACTACACATACCCAGATGTGATCCCCCCCCTTTTGGCTTGTTGCACCGTCCTGTTTACATGTAGTGTAGCCAATTGTTGTGGTGTCTAGTGGCCATACAGAGTGTCCCAGGAGTCGCTGAGCCAACAACTTTGACCAGCTGCTGACTAACCCCTGTCACCACTGTAGATGGGCTGCATGGGGCAGCCCCCTTCATGCTCTTTGCCATTCGTGGAGGCTTTGTGATCTTTTGGTAGCAGGTTAAAATCCCCTCCCTAGTATAGGAGACACCACTTCCCGACGTCTCTGTACTCTTATGTCAGCAGTACTACTGAAAAGGAGCTAGGAAGTTTGGCGAATTTTAAAGGTAAATTATACTGGTCAGGGAGTCTGTTGACAAAATCTCTTTTGTTGGTTTTTCTATTTGTGTTTGTTCTTTTGTTTGTTTTTGTTTTTATGATGAAGGATCAGCCTTTAGGACTGAGAAGGGAGTTTCCTGGTACTCTAGTCAGTTCCAGGTGGCCAAACTGGTACTGGGGAGTCCTTGAGTTAAAACCAGCTCAGTCAGGTTTGACTTGAGGTAGTTGTTCTTTCCCATCACCAAAGTTTCTTATAACTTATTTTTTTCTTCCCCTTCCTAGCTTGTCTTGAAGAGAAACCTAGCTGCTAACTCTAGAACACCTTACAGAGATTCCTAGGTCCTTCTCTCTCCCCCATACCCACCAACTTCATGACCATTTGCCGACATGTCCAGTTTCTCACAATCTCCTTTTAAAGGATATTAGGCATCTTAATAAAGCCAAATGAAAGAAAAATTACTTTTTATGTAAACTATTTGGAAGCCCTTGCCCCAGGAGGTAAAAGGGACATTCCTTAAAAGAAGGACAGTGATCCACAAAATAGAGTAATCCAGTTAGAAAAGTACCTCTTGCTGCAGCTCTTCCCAGGTCCAAAGATAAATGTCACACCTGCTTATTGAACAGACATGTAGTTTGTTAGCCATTTTTTGCAGTAAAACATAATTCAGATGCTTCCAGAAAATGAGATTGATTGAACAATGTTTTCCTAATTTGAGAGGGTTACAGTTTAATCAGAAATTCTCAGATACCCACTGGAATGTAACATGGTAGTGGCAGCTGAGGCTGGGGTACATCTAGAACTTATGTGTATAAGGGCTAATAGGGCAAAATCAATCATGTTTAACCCACCCCAGACAACTGAAAATCCCCTGGTTGTGCCAGTGATCCATTTGGGGCTGGTTATTTATTCTTTCCCTGTTGTAGACTTGAGGCCTAATCAAATTCAGTTATTTCCCTCGTGTTCTCTCAGAGCGTGGGTACTTGGACACTTGGCATCACTGACCCCCAGAGGTCTTCTTCAGTAGGGCTTTGTTGCCAGCCTGATTGTTGTGGTCACCAGCTTTATGTGTTGGTCATGTGCAGACCTGGATTATTCCATTAGGTTAATATTTTAATTAAAACAGATAGTTTGCAAAAACTGATTCAGATTTTAATTGATTTGTGTTTGTGTATATGTGCGTTTGAAAAAATCTTCTGTAAAATCTTCATGGTGGGAATCATCCCAAAGAAAAATTTATAAAAGGAATCTCGGATGACTGTGAGTGAGGCAAGTCCTTTCTGTATCAGTTTGGAACGCCACCCTGTCATCAGATCATACTGCCTCTCCTGAGTTCCGATGCATGCCTAATTCCTGTGTGTTTGGGAAGAACATACAGCCTAGCAACTATGAGGAATCTGTCAAAAATATATCAGCAATTTGCAAGTGCTGCATCTGGTGTCCAGAACCTCTGGTGGTAGCGAATGGCATGGGTTTTCTGTCCTTCACCTTTCTTTGTTAACCTTAAATCACTAACTTTGTACCTTAAAATATTTTATTCCCCCTCCCCTGCCAGTCTGCACATTTAACTCTTCCCAGAGTTAAAACAGCCCCAAGTTGTGATTTACAGAGAATACTTCTTCCTTGCTGAGTAGTGTCACAGAAATGTTTGTTTTCTGGGGTACAGTGGGAAAAGCCCTGGGCTGGGAAGCCTGATGACCAGGGTCCTATCACCAGACTTGGGCAATCTCTGAGTTTCTCGGGGCTGCGCTTTTCCTGTCTGTGTGACCAGGAAGTCAGGCTGATGTGACCTCACGGGTTTCTGCCACGACTCCCAGGATGCTGTGGAAGCCAGGTGCCTGGTGGGCAGAGGGCAGTGACTGAAGAAGCCCTGTCATCACTCTTGCTGTCTCTTCTTTCCCTGGCATTTAAAATGAAAACTCTGGGCATCTTTGTCAGGTTGGAACCCTATTTTCACTCTAGACTTATAACTGCAGTAGTTTATGTAAGTACCAGGTATCTGGTGTGTTTGATTCTTTGCAGAATGCATTGTGTTGGACACTGGAATAATACTATTTATTTTCACCTGTGAAGATAACTTTATTATACTTGAAACACCTCCTTTGCATTCCTCCATGTGTGCCATTCACTAGTGGAAATAAATTGTATTATACCATGATCTACTGGCTTTTAAACAAAACACTATGTTAAATATGCACATTTCTTGGGATAGCTCTATCATTTGTATGTATATATTGTATATACATATGAGTGTGTACATATATATATATATAAATAGAGAGATAGACATGTTGGCAGTGCTGTACATTTGCATCAAAGCACTTAGGGTCCTGTTCTTTTTATATATACGTATACACACATATGTATACATATATGAGTGTGTGTGTATGTGTATATATATATTTATAAATACATATATATATATATATATTTTTCCAACTCTCTCAGTTAAGGCAAGAATGCATAGGTCCCTCACAGAGTGAGCAACATCACTTAGTGTATGCTCTTTGGATTGGTCTTTTTGAGAACATGGATGGCTCCAGGCAGTTGTGAGTCCCTCAGCCCTCTGAGATCAGAAATGCCTCAGGCCCTTGAAGAAAGAGGGAAACCAGGCCATGGGGACCGAGAAAGGGAAGGTATAGTGTGGAACTCATCTGCAAACAAGCAGGAGAGCGCAAGGGCAGAAGCCAGCCCGAGCTTCTGCTCCTCAGAGGGACGTGGTAGGGGGGAAGCGAGATGGCCCAGAGCAGAGAATCGTCGAGAGAAAAGGATCAGGCAGGGCTTCCTCTCCGGAGACCACAAGGACCTCAACTGTGTTGCACAATTACCATGAGCCTCCTGTGTCTCTGGGCGGGGGTGGTGCCACTGACCCTTAGCTGCTGAGTGAGAATCCTTACACTGAGGGCCCACACCAGTGCAAGGGCTTCAATGTGATGCTTTGGTCCTCTTGCCCGGTAAAGTGGCATCCACAGGGAGAGAGTGAAAGGGTGGTAATGCCTAGTGTCACTCATGGTCCTGACAGGATCAGAGGCTTGTTCAATCTGCTACAGCTCCCTCATGGTGCTCTCCAAGCAGTAACCCTCTGTTGCTGTTCTGCTCCTTCAGCCCCCAAGGGATAGATCACAAGTGCGCAGCATGAGGATCCTCTCTGTGGTGGGGAGGGTCGGATTTGCTCGAGGACTCCTGGCCAGGAGAGGCTGGCCCAGGCAGCAGCAGGCCCTATCACTCTCAGGTCATCCATTTGCCTCAAGCTTCTCACCCATCAAGAATCCATTTCCCTCGTCCTTTCAGAGTTCAGGCTCGGCCTTGCGTCTTTGAAGTCTGCCCTTTGGGTTGGGAAGGACTGTAAACTTTCCCCGTCCTCAGTCGAATACTCAAGAAGAATGTGCTGTGAGCTTCATAGAGCTTCCTCTTGTATGCAGGGACTACTGATTGAAGTCTATTTTTGCTGTGTCTGGTTACGTTGTCTGCACTTTGATGAAATCACTACAGTTAGAGCTACATTAGGAGTGTTTGTAGAGATGTTTGTGGGCTCTGTTTATAGCTGTTAATGCTGTAAAGAAGGAAGTTGTCTTGTTAAACACTGTCCAGAAGAGGTGAAGCTGAGAACTCCTCCTGTTGTGCATTTATTTGTATGTTCTACTGACTCCCAATGTTCCCAGACTGTCTACAAAGGCCACGTAGAACAGTTTCCCCTCTAGTGAATGTACTGCTTCCCAGACCTCCATTTACCTAGGAGCATCTGTGGCTCGATGGGTAGTCCTAAGATGGCTATGAACTAAGTAGACATCAGACTCATTGTGCACCTTATCTGTTATCCTGTGGGTCGCTGAACGCTTGCCTCTCCTGCCTTCCCAAAGAGGTGGGCAAGTAAAATTGGAGGGCTATTTGCTACGATTGCTACCCTGCTAACTGTTTGCCAGACATCAGAATTTCCTGAACATCTTCCCCATCCCCATCCCACCCATGCACTTCTCCCCACCCCTTTTATTTTTATATAGAAAATGTTGAACTCTCTCTGAAGCCTCCCTTTGAAAGTAGCAGGATGCGCACTGGACAAGGCAACCAGATCATCTCTGGTAGTGTGCCAGGAAAGAGTGGAGAAGAGCTGAGACCGAACTGAGAATGAACAGATTAAAAGGGCGCCTTCACACCCAGTAATGCCTCCAAAGTACGGGTACTTCCACCTGCACAGTTTGACTATTTTGCTGACATTTTAGCAGTTGTGAGTGAAAACCGTGTAATTAACTGTAAATATGTAGGTAACAAATTGACCTAGTTTCTGTAATTTTTTTTTTTTTTTGGAGTTTTTTGTACTAAAGTTTATAGATCTGTGCCAGCTAGAGAGGAGTTGCTGTCATTGCCCATTGTGGCCCTAGCATCTAACCCTATAACCATCCTAGGTAAAGCTAAGAATCAACGCTTCAATGTTGTATGCAGGGGGATGTGAGGCTTAATCGTGTGTCAATTTTAAATACTTTTGAAGCAAAGTAATTTTCTTTAATGTAATGATTCCATATCCAAGTGAGGTTGGGCGAGCTCCCTTCCCCAATGCCCACGTTTGTCTCTCAAATGCAAGTGTTTTCATGTCCTCTCAATGACGCAGGCAGTAGATTTCTGATGGGGTGGTGCTTTTGTTCCTTGGGCTCCCTTACAGCAGGAACTTCAAGTGAAACAAGTGGAACTCTTTGTTCGCACAGAGATCCCGCGTCTGGAAAGCTTGGATCATTCTGTCCTTCCTCCCCACCATGTGCTAGGGAGCTTGGGTACTCATAGGCCAATGAACTGAAAGGAGAAAGAAAGAAAGGAAGGAAAAAACTACCTATCCTGTCCATGAAGCCTAGTTTGTATGTTTTTAGTGCCCAAGTGACATGTCTCCATGACGGCAGCTAGCCACATGTGGAATTGAGACATCGATGTTCATGAAAAGTTAAAATCTTCGTGTTTGAATAGTTTAGCTTCCCATGAGATATGTATTAGGGTCACTTGAAAGAAAGAAAGAATGAATGAAGATCAGTTTAATGGAAACAGGTTCTCACTTTCTGAGCTTAAGAGCATCACACTCTAAGTTACACATGTTTTAGTTGAAATATGCAGTTCAGAAGACTATAGTTGCCAAATGCATGGACTCTAGGTAGTCCCTGTGGTCGTTCTGCCCAGACCATCCTCACCTGAGAGTGAGGCCCATTCTCTTTTGGCCTTTGTGTGTTGTATGTTGGCTTCCATCAATGTGGACATCCTACCAGATGGCTCGTTTCAGTGCCCATTCCAAATGCCCTGTTATTCCTCAGTGAACCTCTTCCCTTCCTTCCACCACAATGTTGTGTGTTAAACCTCCTATTCCAATACTAGGTGGTAGTTGTGCCAACTTCGTGTATGTGTCTCCTCCCACTCTCAATCAAATACATGTCCAAGAAGGAGCCCAGCCAGCCAGAGGCACGATGGGGGAGAGCATTTCAGTAAACATGGAAGAGACCAGAAGTAGATGGGAGGAGTTTTACCAGGTTCCCTTGAAAGTTGAAATTTGAAATGAGATAGGAGCCCATTTAAAAAATGCAAACAGTTTTTATGGAGTGAAGGGATAGCAGAATTGGGGACGGAAAGAAGAGGGATTTCCAGGAGAAGAGAGAACTTTGTGGTCATGTTAACTTTGCTTTTATGAAGACCCTTTTCTTCTAGGTTAGAGAATTAAGGACATTCTCCCAACTCTTTTTTTCTTAAAAACAAAAACAAAAACAAAAAAAAATAAAACAGGATGAGGGTCTGATGTATATAAGTGACATTTTACAGTATAGCGTGTATAATTCACCCAGACTATTTCAACTTGATCAATTGTAAATGCTTAAGAAGTTTTTATTAACACTTGTTTTGCTAAATCCTATTTATGTGATTATTCAGAAGTCAATAACCCATTTAAAATTTAAGGCAAACATTTAGGTAATAAATGGTTGGGTTACTTTGAGCAATTTAGCTATAAGAACCCCCTTGTTTTTGTATACAAGAAAGCTAGTATAATGTGCATTAACGAGGCTGGGAGAGACTATGAGAAATGTGTATAGTGTATATTTTAAAACAGCTTTGCTTGTATTGTGAAGATTTAAAAACAAACTTGAGATTTCTAACATAACTATTAACACAATTTTAACATAAGTTATCCCACTGGGTTTAAGAGCATCTTGAATGTATAATCCTTTTTGTAACCCAGATTGGTTTCTGCTTCTACCCATCATCCAGATAGCCTATTTATGTTTTTAATTTTATACAGTATATTCACTTCCCCATGAATCTCTTCATCTCCAGCATGATTTTTTTTTTGCACAGGTATTGTAGAAGTTTTAAAAAGGAAAAAAAAATCCATTTTTCTCCATCTTGGATTTTCATCACTTCTTTCTTCCCCTTTCCCCATCTCCTTTTTTAAAGGCCATTTTATTACATTTGCATTATCCATGCAAATGCTAGGGTTTTTTTTTAATAATTATTTTGCCATTCATCAAAAAATGCTCAGTCGGTTGCCTTTTTACAAAAAATAATAATAATAATAATAAAGGAAAGAAAAAAAAAAGCTGTGACCTTATCAGTTCTGAGTAGGCCATTGGGAGTGGATGCACACATGTAACAGCCCAGGACCAGCTCTGGTGGCCACTCAAGGGGAACTACTTTTAATGGCTCATAGGGCCTTTCTTTATTGGAGTGTGTTGCTGTCTAGAATGTGTTCCAGTAATTTCCATGAATATTTAAAAAAGATCAGTTGTAAGGAATCTGGGTAAGACCAGGTGCCCTGAGTTATCAACGCCCTGAGAAGGTCTAGTTGGGTTTCATCAAGAACGCCCTTGTGACTTGTTAGTACCCTATAGTGAGGAGAAGAAATTAAGGATTCCACAGGACTCAAAATTTGGTTAGATCACTTGCCTTTCTTGTGGCAGTCACCATATTCTCCTCTCCCCCAGCCCCTGAGCCTGTCACATTTTCATGGTGGGTGAAGGACTTCTGGTTCTGGAAACTAGGACAGATTTTTAGAGTGAGAGAGAAATCATGTTGAAAGTGTGATGTGCTACCACCATACTAATTTGTTTTTTAACTCCACCTTTGTCGCGTCCTCTGAATTTTCAGGCCAAACAGATGCCCACAGTGGAGGCTTACAAAGGGTTGCAATGGGGAATGAGGCCCTGCCTTTGATATGAGCGCCAGTTGGTATGGATGATACAAGTGTGCATTTTCTCTTCAGTAAAGATGGTCCACAGCACTAACTGGTGAGGCTTATTGTACAGTATATTGTCAGTATTCTTCTGGTTCTGCATACATTATAGTTCATATATAACCTGTATTAATTGTATAGATTGTGCATTTAAAGCTGTTACCAAGTTGTCAGAAAATGAGAGAAAACAAGGTCATATGTAATATTTTGTTTGTAAGTATCCTTTGTATCATAGCAAAGGAAAAGTTAAAAAAAAATCAACTGTAATAAAGTAATTTTAGTACACACAGTCTCAGTGAGCTTTCTTAAAAAATTTATTCCTGTACCTTACAGGTATCCCTGGTCAGTCCCCTATAGCTTGATATGTTTCCCGTGTAATTATGTACTTTCCCACTGTTGCTACCACACCCTCATCACCAAAGTAATCACAGGGACTCTTGGGCTCTTCATTCTGCCTGAAGGTAGAGTACTGAGTGATCTTATCCATCAGTTGTACACTATAGTCATGAATGCCTACAGAAATCGCCCAGCTTATGCAGTTCATGGACCCAGCTGCTGAACAGAGGACTTGTAGAGATGTCAGCGCTGCCTGCACTTTTCCCCTAGATTTGAAGTCATGTCCAAGCTGGAAGGGGCCAGATTCACACATACCTAGTTAATGGCAGAGCCAGAGTTAGTCTGTATGTTCATTGCTTTTTCCATAATATGCTGGGTAGATGGTAACCCCATTTCTTAACTCAGGAGCCTAATCAATAAGATGGCAGTGTAGGAGGAATATTGGAGCCAGGTTCTGGGTTCTAGTCCCTTCTGTGACACAGGGCAAATCATTTCTCTGCCTCATTTTCCTCACTTACAAAATCTGACACTGCCTTTCTCCACGTTGTGAAGAGAGCAGGTTATAAACCATAAAGTGTTTACAGATCATGTCAGTATGACATGAAAAAGACAGCGGAGCAGCGTGGTGCTTGGAATGGTTGCAGAGTTCGAAGTGGGAGGAGCCAGGTTCAAATCTTGGCTCTACCTGTTTGACTTCAGGGTTTCAGGTAACATCCCTTCCATCTCTATGATCGAATGAGTCAAAAATCTAAAGGAATTCTCCCTTTCCTCTCACTGGCTCAACATACCAAAGGTTAATTGGGTCATGCTCAAGCGTGTAGGGTGCCTTTCACCGGAAGGTACACTCGGGTACAAATCCAGCAGGGGAAGGCATTCTCATCAAAGTGGTAGATAAATGCTCCCCAGAAGGGTCTGTTTACATTATTGAAAGCATGAGAGATCACCTACCTGGAGGCAAAAGATCTGGGTTTCTAGCCCTGCCTCCATCATTTAAAAGCCATGTGAGCCTCTAGGTAAGTCACTCAACGTCTCTAAAAATATTTTCTTGTTTACGAAAACAAAATAGAGATAACACCTGTCTCCTGAGGTATAGCTTTATAAACTACAATAGGATTCAGAGTTAGAGGAGACTTTTTAATCTTCAACCCTCTTGTCTTATAGATGAGGAAGCCAAAGAACACAGATGTGATGTGACCTTCCCAGTAGCACGGGGGAAAAGAGGATTTGAACCCAAGTCCTTTGATAAAACTAGGTTATTAAATGTGGTTTCAATAGAGCAGCATCAGAATGGACCTCAAGTTATAGAACGCTTTCCCACCCAAGTTCTTAGGGACATTAACTCAAACATCTCTACTTCCCACTTGATCAGACCAAGCCTAAAGAATCTCAAATTTCTGCCTCATCCTTAAAGATTCTGTTTCCTGAGAGGGAATATGTTGTGTTTGTTTTGGGATCTAAAGCAGTGCTTGATGGGCGATTCATTTGAAGGTCCTTGGACATGCTTTATAAGATACCTTGATGTTTATCGGGGCAGTGTGTGATGAGAAAGGGAAGCACGTTGGTAAAGGAGAGGCAATACAAGGACTGGTTTTAATTCCCCAGGGGGAGAAGGCATGGATTGGTTGACTCTGCCTCACTTGGAGAGACTGCATCTCCGGAGGACAGTGGTAGGTAGGACCAGAACCCAGGTTGCCAAATTCCTAATCCGCTGTTCTTCTCAGCACAGCACAGAGGCGTTCCGTCATGGCAAAAGACAGGGCTAGATAGGGCCCCTGTACTACATACCAGGCATTGCTGACAGTTGGGGAAATTTTCAGACTGCTAGGAAATGATTAACTGAAGCAAGAGGTCTGGTTATTAATTAGACAGAAACACTAGGTTAGGATTCTGAAGAGGGAGATTGGAGCTACAAACCATGGGCAACAGCCAATGTTTGTAGATGGAGGCCGTAGAATGAGGTGTTTCAGTCCCCAGGTGGGTATGTACATCCCTCTGCCCAAGACCCCAAAGATGGGAGATTAATGTCCTGCATTTGTTTCTGACTGGAAATTGGGGGGGAGGGGGAAAAAACCACCAAGAGACAAATCTTTCTATTCCAAGGCAGTGAAATAAAAGATACTTTTCTGTCCAGCCACGTGGTTGATGAATACAGTGATGATAAATTGGCTTTTCCTTAAGCAGGGGTGGGCGGTGCAGGATTTGGAGGAACACACCCAAAAAGCTTTTTTGTATGATTGTCAACAGCTAGTTCAGAGACTTGGGCGAAATGCTAGGTGCTGCAGTGTATAGGATGCTGGGCCTGGAGTCAGGAAGATCTGAGTTCAAATTCAGCCTCAGACACTCATTAGCTGTGTGACTCTGGGTAACCTGTCTGCCTCAGTTTCCTTATTGGTAAAATGGGGGTAAATAATAGCACCTACCTCTCAGAGTTGTTGTAAGAATCAAGTGAGGTAAATATTTGTAAAACCCTATATAAAAACGCTGGCTGTTTTCCGCCTCTGAGGCCTTCTCAGCTACTCAGAATGTAAAACAGTCGTTGAATATTTTTCATATGCTCTGCCCACTTCAGTGGGGCAATAGTCTTATTTTTCTTAAATTTTTATATCCCTTCATTGGTTCTAGAATCTTGCTATAGAATAGACTTTTCAGCTTTCTAGGAGCATGTTTTATTTCCTAAAATTCCTTCAGGTTCTTCCTATAGTTACAAAGCAGGAGACATCTGACTGGTTTCCCATTTCAAAACGCAAGCTACAATCACCTCTGTAGGAAGCCACTTTGGAATAATTTTTTTTTTTTTTTTGGCAAGGTAGTTGGGGTTAAGTGACTTGCCCAGAGTCACACAGCTAGGGAGTATCATGTATCTGAAGTGGGATTTGAACTCAGGTCCTCCTGATTCCAGGGCTGGTACTCTATCCACTGTACCACCTAGCTCCCCAGGATAATTAGTAATAACATAATAGCAGTTACATAACATTGTAAAGTTTGCAAAATACATACGTTAATTCATTTGATCCTCACAACAGCCCTATGAGGTAGGTGGTATTATTATTATTTCCCATTTTATAGGTGAGGAAACTGAGGCATAGAAAGATTTTAGAGACTTGTCTAGGGGTCACAGCTAAGGAGTATTTGAGGCAGATTGAGTGTCTCAATCCTCTATCCACTGTAGCACCTGACTGCTTTGATATTAGGTAAAGTGTTTCTGAAAAGGCTTCCTGAAGCTCTGGCTGAGCAGTCTTTGGATGGAACCATAGGGGCAAGGCCTCTGGAGCTCTCATATCATCCTCAAGTTGACCCAAGGGTAGGTAGGCACAAATGATCCCTAGCTGAGGCTCTCAGAAGTCACCGAGACTGGCATGGCTGATAAGTAAGTGGTGAAACATCAACCTAGACTCCAGCCTTCTGACTCTTAAGATGAATGTTCTTCCCATTTCTCAAGGCCCATTCCCTGAGGAGGGATTCCCGACATAGGTAAGGAGGTAAGTTGGATCAGCCAGTTTTAGGGGGAAAGACTGTGCTCTCTTTTTATTGAGGTTGGGGGTGAGCTTGAAACCTGTGGGTTCCTAGGCTTTTGGAAATAAAATATTAATTCTTGACTTGGGGAGAGACCAAGGCATGGTAGAACTTGGAGAGCTTGTCAGAGATAATTGTCCACTTTTTAATTCAGCCAGTTCCCCAAGTTCAATGGGCAATGGAGGGGAAGCAAACATCCAATCAAGTGACCTTCACTTCTAGGGCTTAAGGCACTGCTTCCTTCCCCAACTCTCTTCGTTTTAGTTTTTCATTTTCTTTCCCTCTTCTGCTTATAAGCCTCTAAAAGAGGGCTTAGAAATGGGTCATATGGACATCCGGCCCTAGGTGCATTGAGAATTAACTCTGAGTTGGTGACTTTTCTGTCTGATGGTTTTTTTGGTCTGCAAAATGCTTTCATAGTCCAGTTCCCCAAAAGGTCAGACATCCAAAATTATCTGCCTCAAGTTTTTCCAGCTTGTTCCAAGGTGTTAACTTAGGCAGGGTAGAATGAGGAAGACCTCTTTAGACGGGAGGACAGAGTCACCCAGACTTCATCTAACTGTGGGCATTGCCCTGGCTGCGGGCCAAGAGGTCACACTCTAAATCAGCGGGCAGACTTGAATGCCTTGATTTCCCTATAGGGCAGGGGTGGGGAACCTTCGTCCTTGAGGCCACATGTGGCCTTCTAGATCCTTAAGTGTGTCCTTTCGACTAAATCCAAATGCAGCCTCAAGGCTGCAGGTTTCCCACCCCTGCTCTAAGGTATCAGGAACCTGAGAAAGGAGACGACTTCCCTGAGTGGTGCAGTTGGCAGGCTGGTTTGGAGGGTTTCAGGGTCTGAGGCTTTCCCACTTCCTTTCTCTGGGCCCCAGTTTTCTCCTCTGTAAAAATAAGATGGTGGAACTAAGTGGGCCTGCAAATAGCTCCTAGCTCTGTGGTTCTGACCCATGTCCTGACTCCCTCCAGCAAGCTGCCGGTGTTTGAGCCACTTAATACTGTCTTTGGACTTTGTCCTGCAAGTCCTTTGGACTTGTCACTGCAAATACCTGAGAAACCTGTAGGTGGTTATAATTGCTTCTTTTCTGTTTTCAGCCTCCTCTCCTCCCTTCTCTCCTCCTATTCTCTCCTCCTCCTTCCTCTATCTCCTTCTCTTCCTCATTCTCCTCTTCCAAAAAACCCAACAATTAGAAGACCTGAGTTACTACAGCTACAGCCTTTGGAGATGGGGCACAAAATCGGCATGAGCTTTTCTTGCTGCTTAAAGCCATCAGGTTATTTCTGACTTTGCACCCAGCTCTGAATTACTGGTTGCCAAGGAGAAAAAAAAAGTCTCCAAAAGGGAAATGCTGATTCATTCATTCACTGAAGTATTTGAGCACCTGCCCTGGGCACAGAACTGTGCTGGGTTAATACATGGGCATGAGCACCTACCTTCTCACCCAGCCTTTTGTCAAAGCGACATTTGTGTCCCAGAATAGCTTGATTTATAGTTCAGCCTTTATTGGCACTGGCTGAAGGTTAGGAGATGACAAAGCAGAGGGAGGAGGGGGAGGAGGAAGAGGAGGAAGGGCCCACATAATCCCCAAACAAGATTCTTCTTGAACAATTGAGCCTTGTCTACATCCGTACCCAGGAGGTGTTTCTTAGGCCTAGACAGCTTAGACCTAGCCTCCAAATAGCAGCAATACTCTGATCTGCAGATCTGAAATTCTGCCACTAGAAATATCAGATGCTAGGCCATGTGCCATGCGTGACTTTTGGCAAATTTGTTTCTCTTTTTAAAACTCTTTTGTTGCTTATTAGACCAGGATGTGGCTTTGTCACATCTGAACAAATACTCTCTAGCCCGGTGTGAGTACATGGGCAGGTTCAAATAAAGTCATGAGTCATGAGACCGTGTGTCTTAGTCAAACATGGAGTAGGACGCACTTTGATATACCTTGTGGGCTATGTTCCTCGTCATGAACAAAGATGTCCTCACATCTGCGGTCTAGGACTCATCTCATTCTGCCTCCCCACAGAACTAACCATCCCTTCAGTGATGAGTGATTAGAAATCAGAGAAAGGGGTGATACCCCTCCAAGCAGTCCTAGATTCGGTGTGAATGGACTTTCAAATAACTGGGCAGGGAAAAAAAATGAGTATTAATAAGACAGTGGACAGGGGCTGCAACCCCCTCCAGGTTTCTAGCCTGTCCATTCACAGTACATGTGATACTTCTCCCTTTCTCCTGACCCTGGAATGGAGGAAAGTCTCTAGTGTCCATGTCTGGAAACAGGCTAGTAGTTGAGAAAACTCTGGAGAGAAAAGACATTCCTTCCTTACAGAAAACCACATGATCCTTAAAATTTAGCCCAAAAGACAGAAATGGGAGCCTCTGGTCCAGCTTTCTTGGAGTAGAGCAATTACACCCTGATACAGGAAAAGGTACTTGAAAACATATCAGTATCTCTGAGAAGCTGACTCAGTTAAAAAAGTCCCAGCTGTCTTTGATCCTGGGAATTCCTTAGCCCTGGCACCATGCCAGGGATCTGCTCAGAGCAGGCCTGGGTCCTTGAGCTTTTGGTTAATGGTACTAGACAAGCCTTTCTGATGCCTCCTCCCCAGCTCAACTGTGGATTTTTATGCTACTGAGACAGGCACCCACATTCCCTACCCTCTGCTCTCCTTCTTGTCAGCCTCTTCATGGACAATTTTCCAGGAAGGGAATGGCAAGAAAAAGTCTGAAATTGGAGCCAAGTGCAGACTTAAAGAAAAGATTCTTGTCTGTGATTCATCTGTCCTCTCACTCTTCATCAGGTTCAAGGTTTAGAGGAGATGGTCTACAGGCCAGAATTCATGACTGCTCATAGACTCTATTTCCATTTGAGGGGAGACTGGCTTTCTCTGATACTGATAGGAATGAGGGGCTCATCCTGTACCCCAGCCTGCAGCTACTGTTTTTAGAACAGCGCTTTCCAGCCAGAGGGAATGGGGTGGGACTCAATAAACACAGGATGTTTGCATTTAAGGCTCTGTAGTTCTCTCTACCAAGTGGCTAAAGGGCTGAGTCCTGGCCTCAAAATCAGTTACAGGACACCACACGTAGGACATGACATCTATGTGTATCCTTACTGCTACTTCTAAGAAAACAGCTGTTTTTGCTGGTGCCTGGAAACTTTACCTATGACTTTCCCATCTGATAAATGCATGCCCATCTTTGGCTTTTGAAATCCACCATGATGGGAAAAGATGGCGGCCAGGATAGACATGTTGTGTAGAGCAGGATGAATTGGAATGACCCAAGCAGGGACTGCTGCCTCTTTGAGGATGTAGGAACAAGCCCCTACAGATTTTCTGTAAGTTCCATCTCCATTAGCAGACAAGGTCGCTAAACAGAGGGATGGTGGCTGCCTACTCCAATAGTTCCATTCCATGCCATGCTGGCATAATTCTTCCATTTGAGACCTGAGCTGATGAATGGAAGCAGCCAGCTTCCTTTTTCCATGAGGCATTAGAATCAGGGACAGGAACAATGTGGGGGCGTCACTTTGTATATGACCGCTTCCAGCTAAACATCTCCTCAAGTCGAGGGGAGATTGGCGCTACCTCTCGCTTTTGCAGGGTAAATCGTCGACGGCGGCCTGCCAAGAGTGAGGAGCGGTGGCGGGACAGCCCCTTCACCCTTTCTTCTGATCGGAAGAATTCAGTCAGAGCCTGGAAATACTCCAGGGTAGCCTCATGGCTCCAGGCTGGGGAAGAATCTTCCCGGACGAAGCCACAATGGCCCCCATGGCGGCTGAGCAGAAGAAAGAAGTAGGGGTTGTTCTGGAAGAGTTTGGTGGGCAAGGTTTGACCTGGAGGGCCCCGAACAGGGTCATCAGCACTGCAAATGCAGAGCACAGGGACTGCAGCTTCATCCACATCCCGGAGGGGATCATTGTCATCCCAGTAGGCATCCCAGCTGATGGGGAGGTTCTTGGTCTGGCAGAAAAGGGCCTCCTCAAATTCACGCAGGGAGCGGCTCATAAAGAGTTTGTCTGTGTCCACTATGTCATCTAGGGCTGTAGCATATCTGTCAACAACAAGGATTGTAAATTGAGGCAGGGAGAGGGTGAAGAAGAGCTTACTTACAACACGACTAATGTGAAAATATGTTTAATAGGAATGTATATGTATAGCCCACATCCGATTGTGAACTGTCTTGGGGAGGGAGGGGGAGAAAAATTTAAAACTCAAAAGCTTATGAAAGGAATTGTTGATAAATCAAAATAAATTAATTTTAAAAAAAAGGAAAAAAAAGAACATCAGTGGATTATTGGAGATACTATTCCTTCGAGTTTGGGGTTTCTCTCTCTTTCTTGGGATATTATTCTAGAATAGGAGTTCTTAACCTGGAGTCCATAGACCCCCCAAGGGAGATAAACTTCAGGGAATCTGTAAAGTTGGGTGGGAAAAAATTAAGTGCTTGTTTTCAGTATAATTGGTTTTCTTTATAATTCTATTTTGTGCACATAAAAACATGATTATGAGGTGTCCAAAGACTTCACCAGATTGCCCAAGGAGTCCAAGACACAAAAGGGGGTAAGAACCCTTATTCAAGGGGTTTTAAATGGGGTTTCCTGATTGCCCAGAGCCATGCTTCTGGTCATCCCAAATAGCAGTGATGGAGAGATCATTTCAGTTTGGGCTGGCTTGGCGAAGGGGAGAAAGCTCCAATGTGCACAGAGTGTTTCCCCCACCCCCCCAAACCAAATCAAACCAAATCAATGTAACCTTGGTCTTTGGTGGTAAGTATTGTTCGATTCTTATCTTTGTATCACTGTTGCCTAACATCAGTTCTGGCCCATTGAACAGGCTCGTTGATTGCTCTGGCCTGAAAATAAAGGAACTTAGTTTTTTAGTCTTTCCTCTGCTTTGCATAACTCACTGTATGAGTCATTCCATTTTTCTGATTTCCTTCTCTATGATATGGTATTGAACTAAATGATCTCTGAGAATCCTACCGGCTCTAACATTCTATGAATTTATGATCTTTTTTGGTAGCGGATCCATTTTCCTCGTGATATTTTACTTGAGCTAATGCTAAAAGTCACATTTGCCTATCTGGATTGCACATGGGTTGGACATCAAGGGAAGGCATTCCAAGAGGGTGGTAGGCAGTAGAAGAAGCTGGGGCAGAATTTAAAATTCATTGCAGGTAGTCTAGGGAGTGGATCTGAAAGTGGGTTTTCCATGAGATGTGCATGGATGGATGTTTTGGGAGATTAGCTTGCATTTATTTCCAATTCTGACTCCAACAGTGTGACAGCCAGTTCTCAGGTATGAATCAAGGGTCAATAGCATCTCTCCTCATCACGGGATTCAACTAACCTAAGACTTCCCATGGACCATGAATGTAGATGATGTCATCTGCTTGGCCAAAAAAGACTTGCATAGGGTCTTCAACCTTAAACTCACTGACCACTAGGTACTTCCCATAGCTCTGGATTTCTCCACCCCATTTCCTCACCCCTGATTTTGGAATGCTGTCTTAGAGTCAGGAGTGGTTGAGTCATGGTGGTGGTGATGGAGAAGCACAGAGTGGTCTCTGTTATCAATCATTTGGGCCTGGAAAACCATGGCAACCAAGAAGAAATGTGGACACCTGGGATCCTCCAATGGATTTTCTGTTACCATGGCAGCTCTGCTGAGTACAAGATTTGTTCTCATTATTGGGGGCAGAGGGGCAAGAAAGAGGAAGAAAATGGGGAAGAGGAGGCAGAAATATATATATATATATATTTAGGCAATTGGGGTTAAGTGACTTGCCCAGGGTCACACAGCTAGTAAGTGTCAAGTGTTTGGTCTGAGGCCGGATTTGAACTCAGGTCCTCCTGACTTCAGGGCCTGTGCTCTGTCCACTGCACCACCTAGCTGCCCCCAGAAATATTTTTTTAAACCTCCTCATCGCCATATTGACAAATGAGACCTGGGTTATCTGCTGTGGAAAGTGTCACTCCCCTCCCCCAAGGTTCAGGTCATATGCCTCTCTATTAGGAAGCACCCCCCTCCCCAGCTCTTCAGGGTTTGAAAGACTCGGGGGAATCAGAAAGGGACCTTGGCGACCATCTAGTCCAATCCTCTCGTTTTCCAAGGCAGGATGCTTAGGCTAGAGAGAGAAAGTGACTTACTCAAGGTCACACACAGCAAGTCAGTGTCTTAGCTGGGATTCCCTGTCCAGCATTTTTTTTTGGCATCTGCCTAGGTCTAAGGATGCTTCTCCTTTTGGGTGCCCTATTTCCTGCCTTCCTCTGTTGCCAAGCTCAGTAAAAGTCCTCTATTTGGGTACTGGGATACAATTCCTTCCAGGATCCCTTTTTGGACCTATCCAGCTTTGGACCAAGAGGTAATGTCACATTGGATAGTTACTGGTCTCTTTCCTCAGCATCCAGGCTGCTCAGGGGGTGAGACAACTGTGGATTAAGGAGAGAAGGGAGCCAGCCCAAACAGTTGTACCCATTCCATCTGAAAAGCATTTAACACTTCGACTGGAATCGGTTTCTTTCCCGCGGTGGGATTACGTAAGAGAATTTGGCCCAAACTTTGCCTGAGGCCTGACATTTGTTAAAGACTCCCCAGGCAGCCCAGATTAGGGGGTGAGGGGGATCACATCTGCTGCTGCTCCTCAGGGCTGCCCCAGATTGGGGTGGGGGGATCGCACCTGTTGCTGCTCCTCAGGGCTGCCTTCTGCGCTTTTTGCCCAGGGTACCCACCTGCTAAGAGTGATTTTCTGGTACAGCAGGAAGGCCCTTTCGTAGAGCCAGGGCAGCCCATCCTCAAACCACTCCCGGCAGCGGAGCACGGGCGAAATACAGGCTGCCCCTGTGGCATAGCTGGAGGAGCCACAATCGCCCAGGTAGGACAGTAGCAAGGCCGACCCCGAGCCCTCGCTGACCAGGAACAGTGGCGCAGCTGGCTGTCTGAAGCGAATGTAGGTGACCGCCTCCTTGAGATCTGAGGGGTCCCCGAATGTTTGAAGTTGAGTATTGAGCAGAGGACTGCCCTGATGGCCCCTTCGGTGGAAGATAACTGGGTAGTAACCCTTCTCCAGGGCCAAGAGGCAGAGCTGCACCACGTTGCGGGTGAGGCGACCCCAGGAATTGGGGATGACCAGCAGGACCGGCGGGGAGCTGTAGGCGTTAGTCACTACCTGAGGGCTGGGGGCCCAAGGCCCCACCACCCAGTCCAGGGCCACCAGCCCATTGTCTGCCAGCTGTAGGTTCTCCCGGGTCAGCTGGAGCCCCTGGCCTGCCGGGAGCATGAAATGGTATAAGGTCTGTACATGGGGCCCTGAGAACCACGAGCTGTGGGCAGGCTCGCTCAGGGCCACCGACCTGCGGAAGGTGCGCAGGAGACAGTGTGCCAGGGCAGAACGCTTAAAGATGAGGCGGCAGCCCCCGGGCACCAGCTCCTGGCCCTTACTGAAGCCGTCCCAAAAGGCTGGGTTTTCCTCCTCTTCATTCTCTTCCTCCTCGTCCTCCTCGTCCTCCTCTTCCTCCACCACCTCTTCCTTCGCTTCCTCCACCACCTCTTCCTTCGCTTCCTCCTCTTTCCTGTGCCCTGGCTTCTTTCTGGTACTGTCAGTGAATCGCCCCAGCCATCGGGTCAGGAGGCAGATGAGGCTTAGGGCAGTCAGGGCGAGGGCGAGGGCGAGGGCGAGGGCGGGGCCCCAAGCAGGCATGTCGAGTGCAGAGCGGGATCCGGGTGGGGAGGATAGCGGGGGTCCGAACACGAAGGAGACGGCTGGAGCGGAGAGCGAGCGCTGGGGCTGCGGCAGACGAGCGTCCGCCCCCTCGGAGATCTCCTAGCTCTGCGCTGGGCACAGCGGACTGCGAAGGCTGAGGGCCCTCCCGCGTCGGGGCCGTAGCTCCCTATTGGCCTGGCCTCTGGAGCAGCAGCCAGTTCGGGGCCGGCTGCCCTCCCCCACCCCACCCCACCCCACCCACCACCGGTCCTTTGTGCAGAGATTGCTGCTGGCGGGAGTGAGGGCGGAGAGGGCACCCAGAGCTCGAGAGTTGGGCGGGGCAGAGTCTCCCTGTCTGCCTGCCGGAAGGGGCCTTGGGTAGGAAGGTGGTGCCAACTGGGCGGCGTAGGGAGAGGACTCCCGGCGTGCAGCCCTGCTGGTGCCCGTGCCCTTAGGGATCCCAGACAGACCCCGGGGAGCTGCAGGAACACCTCCTGCCTCTCCCGACGAGTCATCCCGTTGTCCCACATGGGTTGGACAGTCTTGGTCCAGGCTCAGCCGTGAGGGGGAGGGGAGAGGAGACAAAACAGTTCGAAGGCTGCGTCCGCGGGGCCCGGCCCTCCTCCGACTCCAAGAAAAAGGGTGGGAGCCCAAGCTCTGGGGCTGTGGCTGGCTGGCACTCAGCGATTGCCCTCCCTGCCCAGCTCGTCCTCTCCGGACCCAGCCTCTCTGCCTAGTTCTCTGAGCTCAGGGTTTGGGCTCGGCCGCCACGATCCACAGGACGAGTGTGAAGCTAAAGAGCTTAGGGAGGGAAAGAGGCTACCATAGCTGGGACAGAGCGGGGCTGGAGGTTACCTGCATCTGGGGCTGAATGGGAGAAGGGGAGGACAGCGAAGTATGAGAGCCGAATGTTGTCTAAGAAGAGATTGGGGCTATGACGGTAACAGAAGGGGTCCTTTCCCACAGTCCCCAGAGAGACCTTGAGCTCAGAAAGAAATACAGACTTTGGGGAGAGAGGATCCCCAAGCCCGCCCTGATATCAGAAAAAAAAAAAAAAGTCCCGAAGACAGATGCCTCTTGTAGAGAGAGGGTCTCACACTACGAACCGGGCCTCTGAAAGACAGTTCCTAGTCAGACCCTTGTGGAGAGGACCCCACTCAAACACCGTGCCATGAATGAGCTCCCAGACTCCTCTGTGGAGACAGGGTAACCTCGCGAAGAACCTGATCTCAGAAAGAGCTCCCACCGCCAGAACCTTGTGGAGAGAGCCCTCCTCAGAAACTGGGACCTCACAAACAGACCTGCGCAAAGAAGATTCCCGACAGAAACCTTGGGATCCCCTGCAGAGAAAGGGCTCCTCTTTAAGCAGGAGGTCTCCCTAGGATGGGGGTGCAGAATTGTTAACCAAGGTGGAGAGGGCAAGGAAACCTTGCCCAAGGTGGAGAGGGGAGGAGTCTCTTGGCTTAGAAGAATTGGGTTGCCTTCCCATGGATTTTTTTTTTTTTTGGTTGAACTCAGCAATCCACCACCATAACTCCTTCTTTAAATTCTATTGGAATGTTGTTGGCAGAACCAGGGTCCAAGGGAAAGGGGAGAGGAGGTAGGCCCAGAGGTCCCTGAAAGCTCTCCTATTTGGGGGCGAGGCCTGCTGGCTGCCTTCATATCGCTCCGGATAAAGTCCAGCTCTCCCCATCCCTAACAAACATCTCATGTCCACAGTAACGGTACACTGTATGCGGGGAGAGTGGGAGGGAAATATGAGACACTCCGGCCTTCTCTGCTGCCCCTCCCCTCCCTCCAGACTGTGGATCTGTGGTCTGATGGAGGGATTCCCACTGGGTGGAGAAGAAAGTTCAGCTGGGGCCAGGGAGTTTGAAAGAGGGTGGCTCCTCCGGGCACGATTCCTAATAGGATCAGCCCTGGTCAAGAATACAGTGATTGGTTCCTCTGTTCCCTTTATCTTTCCCCTCCACACCCCTGCCCTCACCCACTTCGCCTGCTCCGATTTTGCAATAGGAGAGGGGGAGTTTGAGACCTGTGGTTTGGGGATTGGATCCTGGGCGTTGGAAAGGATGGGGTGGGAGCCCAGGAGGCTCGAGGTCAGAGTTTCACTACTGGAAGCTGGGACCTGGGCTTCAGGGAGTTGGAATAACAATGCTAAGAATGACGTAACAGCTTCAGCTGTAATATTTTAACACTGTACTAAGACTTCTGCGACTAGCTGTATAGCCAAGCACGTCGTCTCATTAATTATCTCATTTAAACCTCTGGATAAATCAGTGAGATAAGTGAATTTGAATATATACGTGAGCTTTGAATATATAGTGCTTTGAAATGCTTCAATAACGATAGCTAGCATTTTCTTGGCACTTAAAGGTTCTTAAGGCGCTTGACAAGTATTATCCCCATGACAACCTACTGAGAAGGTGGGTATTATTATTATTTACTGATGAAGAAACTGAGGCAGCCGGTGGTTAAGTGACCTACCAAAAGTCACACAGTCAATGGCTGAGAGCACTGGAGGATTTGAACCCAGGTCTTCCTGACTCCAGGTACTGCTGGAGTAATCCACTGCGGAGTAATAATAATAATGATGATAACAAGTGACATTGATACAGCTCTTTAAGGCGTACAAAGTGCTTTACTCGGTCTATCCATGTTTCACTGCGAGTTCAGCGCTTCGGTAGTGCTGGTATTATTTATCCCCATTTTATAGAAGACGAACCTGAGGCTCAGAGAGGGGTCGGGATTGGCCCGGGCTCCCAGGTGTCTCTCCCCACACTCTCTCTCAGGAGGCTCCTAGAGATTCGGGCTTAGTCAAGGATGCTCAAAGCCGTTTCTGGTGCCTGCGGGTCTCGCTTCTGCGCAGCGAGAGCGCTTCTAATCATTCGCCCCGAACCCCGCCCAGCGCGCCATGCCAACTCTCACCTACCGCCACTAGAGACTGCGCGTGCGCAACCCCCTCCATCTACATCCCCCCCTCCATTGTACCCCCACCTTCTGCGCAAGCGCCAGTTTTCTCAACTAGCGCTCATCTCACGCCAGTCCCCTCACAACTCCGCCGGCCTCATCTATTACCCCTCAACGTGACCTCGCCGAGCTGGCGTCACGACGCGCGGCCGGCCGGATATTTTGTTGCAACTCGCCGCTCCTCCCCCCACCCTCACGCACACGCGCTCGCTCATCCCCCTCTCTCTCCGCTGCGAGGTCCAGCCCGGGGCGCGCACCGAGAGGGCGGAGCCTGAGGGCGTGGTCTGGGGCCCAGATCCAGAGGGGGGGCGGGTCCAGGAGTAGAGAATCTCAGACAGCCTCCTTCATTGACAACGCTGGCCAAGGGCGGGGCGGAGGAGGAGGGGCAGCGTAGGGGGTGAGGCGAGGAGCGAGACGGAGTCTGTCCATTGCATGGGCTGGGCGCGAGGGAGGGGCGGAGCCAGCGCGTGGGGGCGGGGCCAGAGGCCGGGCCAGCGGGGCCAGCTCCCCGCCGGGACAGTCCGGGGCTTGGGCGGGGGATGGCGGCACCCCGCTGGCCGCAGCTGCTGCGGCAGCCTCCGCTGCTGCTGCTGTTGCTGCTGCCGGCGCTGTTCTGCCGGGCGGCGCGCGGTCCCAGGGCGGTAAGTCTGCCCCTTGCCCCGCCTAGGGGACTGCACCCACCTCCTCCGAGATCTTCAAGCGCCCCCGGCCTTGGCACAGAGGCTGGAAGGGAGGAGCCAGGAGCGCTGTCCCGAGTCCCCGCCTCCGCATCTTCAACCTTTGTCTTGCTGGCGCCGCCAACCAGGAGCTCCATGTCAGAGAGCGGAGAAACCGAGTCCAGAGGCAGACAAGAGGAGGGCGCCATCCCGTTAGGCTGGGACCCCGAGCCTCGGGGCAGACTGGGAGGAATGCAAGGAGGGTGGAGGGCTTGGACGGGGGGAGTGGGGATCCCTTCCAGACGGGTCGCTCTAGCTCTCTGCTTCTGGGGTTTGCAGGTCTCGACTGAGCTGGCCCAGGACAGGGTCCGATGCCCTGGGGAGCTGTGGCCTCTGCCCCAAGAGGTAGGACTCTTGCATAGTTGTATAAATGGGGCCCAGACTGAGCCCAGCCACCCACAAATCCTCTGCGAATGTGAACCGAGGACCACTTTGGGGACTTGAGAGGCGTCTGCCCCTAACACCTCCAGGTTTCTGGTCCAGATTCCTAGCTCTGCAGTGACACTCCCTCCTGTTTCTTTTTGAGAACCCCAGATGTCCCTACTGTCCTTCGGATCTACAGGGATCTCACAGCTTGCTCCCTCTCCCTTTTCCCACATAAGTAATTGATTGAACAAAAACATTTCTCCAGAGCATACTCTGTACAAGGCACTGGTGTACAAAGATGAATAGGACTTCAGCCTTAAGGAGCTTTTCCTCTACCCCCAGCCTGGTCCTGGTTTCCTGGAATGTCTTTCCCTGCCCCCTCCTCAGCCCTCCCCTTACCCCCATGCTGGCCAAGAGTTAAAGTATTCACCCCTTCTCCCCTCCCAAACCCCCTATGGGTGCTCCTGAGTCACTCAGATTTCTTCCTTTCCCTACTCACAGGTGTCTCCAAGAGTAGTAACCAAGACTTGGATGGGCCCAGGGCAGGTAGGGGGCAATACAGCATGGTGGTGATGGGGAAGGCTGATGCTGCTTCTTTTCACCTTGTGTCACTAACTCTGTTACCTGTAACTCTGGGGTTTGGACCCTTTACTCCAGCTGAACTAATTTGCTTGCCATCAGCCCTCCACCTAAAATGCCAGGTGGGAGGTATGGGGCACTGGCATGGTGAGTGAGTGAGTGCTTCCTGACTGACTGGCCCACAGCCAAATGGTGGGATGCTGTAGGCTGGAAAGAGCATGAAACTGGGAGTCAGATAGACCTGGGTTCTAGTCCAAATTCTGTTGTTGATAAGCATCTGCATGGCATATTAATATGGGCATCAGATGAGATAATGTGTGTGAAAGTTCTTTAAAAAGAACCCTATCCATTACTGTGGGGGGAATGTACATGTAAGTCATTCAGACCTTACACCTTGGAATCATCTTGGACTCATCTTCTAAATCTGATCAGTTTCTTCAATCTTTTACAATGTTACCTCTCCAACTCTTCCTCTCCATTTGTATCAGGGCTGGAGTAGAGGTCCCAATCACTTCACCACTGGGCCATTACAACAGTCCTTTTGAGGGACTCTAGCTCTTCTCCCTCCTATCATGGAGACTGCTGCCTTGAGGAATCTTCCCCCACAGCCTTTCATCATCTCGTTCTTGTACTCAGACAGTCCATGGCTCCCTATTTCTTGCTGCATCTTTGCTCAGCCCAGCATGATCTGGCTTGACCTGGCTACCCATCCAGTCTTATATTAATTTCCACACAAAGCCTCTGCCCAGCCAGACCAGACTAATTTTTGTCATGCTCTCCTACCTCCCGACTTGTGTGCATTACTGATCCTCTTCTCTCGCCTCTCCATCTATCCAAATCCTGTCTGTCCCTCAATGAGTGAATGAAGGAAAAAGAATTTATTAAGTTAGCATATACTCTGTGCACAGCATTGTCCCAGCGTTTAAACAGGGGAGACGGCATGTAAAAGAGTGTTGAATTGTAGAGTGGAAAGCCTGGTGTATCTCTGATCTCAGTTCCTCCACTGGTCCCCTGCACTCCACACTGGTCTTTGTTTGAACCCTGGAAGCATAACAGAATTTTACACATCTTCTGACTTGTCTGTGCCCTCTTATTTCATATGTTTTAACTTTGTCTTCTTCACTACAGCCTTCTTTCTTCCTGAGGCAGAGACCGTGTCTCATATGGCTTTTCTCCTCCCTAGTTCAGGGCTGGCTCATGTGAGTTGCTGAGTAAATTAGAATTTATTGGGGTGTTTAAGTCAACACCAAGGGTTGGGCAACCTGATTGTCTCGTTGAGCCTTCTGTTTGCTGGGACTTTTGAATAAATAGAAGATAGGCCTGGCCCTACCCTGAGCTGGTAGCTTTGAGTCTTAATTTGTGCAGCTGATCAGTTGCAAAGCTCTGGCAAATCAACCTTGCCCATATCTCTGGGCAGGTCTGACCTCCCCTGGGCTAGTGAAATGATTTCCTAATGGGTTTTCCTGCCTCCCCTGCACCCTTTAGTCTCTTCTTCCTACAGGGGCCAAATTAATCTTCCTAATATGCACACTTGTCTCTCATCTCATCAAAATTCTTCATTGGATCCCTGTAGCCTCCAGAATAAAGTCTAGACCAGGGGTGGGGAACCTTCTGCCTCAAGGCCACATGTGGCCTTCTAGGTCCTTGAATTGGGCCTTTTGACTAAATCCACGTTTTACAGAACAAATCTTTTTATTAAGGGGATTTGTTCTGTAAAGTTTGGTTTCAGTCAGAGGACTGCACTTGAGGACCTAGAGGGCCACGTGGGGCCTTGAGACAGAAGGTTCCTCACCCCTGGTCTAGATTCATGTTGACATTCAAGACCCTCCATAAGCTAATGTGTCCTTAGCTTTCCAGTTTTCTCTCTCTCTCTCTCTCTCTTCCCTCCTCCACATGTCCTGTAGCTTCATTCAATGAAACTTGCCTCCATCCTCTGTGGACATCATAAGCTTTCTTGCTTCCTAGATTTCCTCATTCTCTATCGGGAATGCCTTCTCCCTGAAATTCTTCCCATATTACAAATCCCAACTCCAGGGCTGTGGGCTTTATGATGCCATCCTTGGACTCACCCACCATTCAACTTGTCGCTCTTTTTTCCTGCTCTTCTGTGTTACACGTGTGTATGTCATGGCCTTGCTCTTTCTCCTGGACTCTCTGCTCTCTGAAGGCCAGGGCCCAGGCCTCCTCTATCTTTGCATCTCCAAGAAACAAAGCCTAGCACAGCTTTGTTCATGGTAGGTGCTTGATAAGTATTGAATGAAAAAAAGCTCTAGCTTAAAATCTAGAGGGAGACACAATAAGCTCAGCATTGAAGACATTTTATTTGGAATAATACCAAGGACAGGAAGGGTCAAGGGAGTGATCTGTTTGGTGGATTCAAAATGGAGTTTTGAAGAAGGGGAGGGAGAGAGCCTGAGAAAGAAGGGGTGAGGGCAGTGGGAAGACTTCACTGGGCAGAAGAGTTTGGATAGGCCTTGGGCAAAATAGCTCCAATGCAGCCCCCTTTGTCAGAGGCTCAGTAAAAGTAGGAAAAGCTACATTCTCAGCCAACATCATTACCCATACTTAGCTGGGTCCTAAGGAAGGTGGAGCACTGGCTCCCTGTATCTCAGGGAGAGGCCAAGTATGGTTGGGCTAGAGCCTGAGCCAGAGCCCTTCCCAGCAGGGCAGCAACATCACCTTCCTCTACCACCCCTGTGTCCACCCCTGGCTGAAACTCCAGTTTGCCCTTCTGGCCCACATCTGTGTATCCCAACCCAGACTGATCCCTTATCTCGGCCTCACTCAGCAACGGGTGAGTAGCCTGGGATTTGGCAGTGGTGCTGCTCTGGGTGTTGGGTGAAAGGGGGGTGTCTGGTTGTTAACATCTATGGGAAGAGAGGGTTTCCAGGAGACTCTCACAGGGAGACCCTTCACTACTTGGGGGAGCAGATAAAGTGGGTGTCTAAAATGCTCTGCCCATGCCTGTTGCTGGTGCTTCTTACAGCCTCTTGTACTGGTTGCCTCGGGGTCATCACTTGAGATGGCAAGAGTAGAGCCAGCCTGGGTGGCCCGCTGGTTGAAGAGGAGGAGGAGAAGGGGAAAGAGGAGAGCTTGGCCCACCCCTTCCAGTGCCCCCTGGCTTCACTGGGCAGAGCCCACCCTAGGCAAGGACCACCTGTGTCCAAGAGGGAGTGTACAGGTGAGGGGACTTGGTGGTTGGTCAGTGCTTTGGGCGGATCTGGACATAGGGAATGAGGGAGGGGTGACTTCTCTTCCTGACTCTCACAGGCCCTGGCTACAGCCTTTGCCCTCCGGAGTTGGCGCCCCCCCGGGGAAGGGATTAAGTCCTGGGGTCCAGAGTACACTCTTGGAGCGAAGAGGAGGGGACTTCGAGCTGCCGTTGGTTCTCTGCCCACAGCCCCTGCCACCAGGGCCCCTCCTCACTCCTTAGGGATCAGCCCAGGGGAGGCCGGTGATACTCCCATGCTGGCCATTGCTCCGAGAGGTGGAGAAAGCAATGACTCCCGACCTGGGCATGGAAGCCCAGGGGGTTGCGTCTGCCCTGGGCATCCCTCTCCAGCGCCCCGGGCAGCCCCTTCCCGGCCGGCCAGGGCTCCTACTCCGCGAACCGAGGAAGCGGCGTGGGCAGCCACGGCTTTGACTTTCCTGCTGGTGCTTCTCACGCTGGCCACGCTCTGCACACGGCTGCATCGAAACTTCCGTCGGGGGGAGAGTATCTACTGGGGGCCGTCGATGGACGGCCAGGACACGGTGGCAGGTGACGGCCCCTCCCCCTGCTCCCCCTCCCCCGGGCCTCTGGCCACCCATTCCCCTTGCTCTTCCTCCCCAGGCCCCTGGCTTCTCCGCGCCCTCGCCCCCCAGTTCCTCTTCCTCCGGCCGTCCCAAGCCCCTGGCCGTTCCCTCCTCCTCCCCTGGCCCCTGGCCCCCTCCAGGGTGCTACTCACCCACCGGTTGCCTGCCTCTCCCCCCAGCCGTGCTGAAGCGGAGACTGCTGGCCGCCGGCCTCCGAAGACCCAAGCGCTCCCGTCGGAGACCCCTCCTCCCGCCCGGCCCCGACCCGGTCGGAGGCAGCCTTGGCCCCGACGGCGGGGGCGGTGACGGCGACAGCTCCTCGGACTGAGGCCTGGCTGGCCCTGGCCACCGAGGAGGGAGGGAGGGCAAGGGGCGGCCCTGAGCCTGGCTCCTCCCGGCCTGGGGTCACCAGTCCCGGGGTGGCCCTGCCACGTGGACAGCGCCCAGCTGGGAGCCCCTGCTGGCCTGTCGGGGCGGTGCAGGCTCCTCCCTGGGCGTGACCCACTCCCTGGATTTCTAATTAAATTATTTTAGTAGATTCCCGTGGCTTTCTGGTCTTCTTGGGCCCTTGGGCACGTCTGCCACCCCCACGCCCACGCCCACGCCCACCCCGACGCCGTCCTTCGTTGGGAGCCACAGCTCTGGACTAGAAACCTGTGTCTAAAGTGCGGTTGTTTTTTGGTTTTGATTTTTGACTCAGACCCGTGGTTTATTGGTGGACGGTACTCCTGGTGAAGACAGTCCCTCTGTCAAGGCAGATAGCCAATTTTTGCAATTTTTATAGCTGCCCGAGCACTGAGTCAAATGACCCGCCTAGACTGTCTCAGCCAGTATGTGTCTAATGTGGATCATGAACCCAGATCACCCCGACTACGAGGTGGGTGGCTGGCTCAGTGTATGGGTGGGATTGCAAGTTTAGGTTCCGGGAGCTTCTTACTGCTTTCTCAGAATCTGGTGTGGACAGGACCTCAGAGACCATCTGGTCCCCTACTCGCCGGCCAGCTAACGGCGGGGGAGGTGGGGCACTCTTGGACAGCTCCAACTGCTAGAAAATTCCTGTATTTTTTTTTCTGGCTAATTGTTATTTCTATCTTGTTTTTACACAATAGTTAGCATTTCTACTGTGCTTTAAGGTTTGAAAGCCCTTTACACACCTTATTCAATCCTCATAACCACACTAGGAAGTAGGGGCTATTACAGATGAGGAAACTGAGGCAGGCAGATGTTGTGACCTGCCCAGAGTCGTCAAGCCCCTAAGCTACTACTGAGGCAGTATTTGAACTTAGTTCTTCCGGAGTTCGGGTCCAGAACTCTACCCATTGGACCATTTAGCTGCCTCAAAGTCATTTAGACTCCTCCCCCACCCAGAGCCAAGTCTCGTAGCAACGAATACAAAGAAAGGGGTGAGGGAGGTGGGGTGGGGGGAAGAGAAGTAGTTGAGCAAAACTACCCGATACTAATATCCAACAAGACAGTATGTGTAATATTCTTCCCCTGCAGCCCCCCCACCTTTGTAGAGAAGTGCACTTTCTCACCTGGTCTTCTGAAGTTAAGATTGCTCATTCTAATTACTAATCCTTTTTTCACTTTTTGGTGATGGTTTACACAGTCAAGCCAAAGTTTGCCTCATTTCGATGGCCACTCATCCCCAGCTCCTGGTATAGTCCATAGGGGCCCATAGCAACAAAAATTACCATTTTTTCCTCCCTTAATTGACCTGTGATTTCTTGGGAATGCAAATAAACATCTTCTCTCCAGCTTAAAATCTTGGAGACTAAATGAGTTATTTAGAATGACAGCTTTCAAGGTAGGGCTTGAACCCAGGTCTTCTGGCATCTGAGGTTGACCCTCTGTTGGTTGACATTCCCTATAGTGCTTGCAAGTTTGCAAAGTGTTTAAAATATTTTCTTTGGACTTCACAACTCTTGCGACTTAGCCACCACAGAATTATCTCCATTTTACAGATTTGGAAACTGGAGTGAAGTCACTTGCCCTCTCTCTCTCTCTCTCTGGAGTCATTCGTTTTCCACATAATGCCCCTCAGAATACTTCAAGACATCATGTTTCCTATCTCCCCCTTTCAGACTAAACAGCCAGTTTGTTCACCCTGTCCTCTGATGGTGGTATCTTGGGGTCCTTCACCATACCGGTTACTCTCTAGTTTATTAAAACCCTTCCTCAGACTGAACCCAGCACCAGAGAGAAAGCCTAACCAGGAGAGGGGACAGCAGAAATATCATCAGCTGCCATAGGAGACTTAGCTGCAGGAGAAGGTCCTTTGACTAAGTAGGTGAGACAGGGGACTGGGCAGCAGGTGACAGTTTGTGAAATTCTACCACAATCTAGAGGATACCATTAAAGGAATATCAGCTCAGAAGAAGTGCTGAGTCAGTCAGATGGCAAGATTAATGGGTAAAGGGATGGACAACTGGAGTACTGCATTGGAATTTTCTGTAACATTAAAGGTAATGCTACTTAAAAAAGAAAAAAAACAGCTCAGGATCCTTTCAGGTCTAGAGGAAGAAATCTTAACCAAACAGGTAGAGATTATCGCAAAAGATAAATAGGTAGAGATGGGGCAACTAGGTGGTACAGTGGATACAGCTAACAGACCTGGACTCAAAAAGATCCCAGTTCAAATGCAGCCTTAGACACTCACCAGCTGTGTGACCCTGGGCAAATCACTTAGCCTGTTAGCCTCAGTTTCTTCATCCGTAAAATGGAGATAATAATAGCACTCACTTTCCCAGCTCAGGGTAATCACCATATAAATATTAGTGATTATTAATTAATAGAGATTAATTAATTGAGATTGGACCTGAGATTAGCATAAGGAGCTTCTAACAAGGAATTTCCCCTCCTAGTACAGAATGTTGGCACCTTTTCTGTGACCACAATTATAGAAAATTGAAAAGTTTTTGAAGAAAGTTTGTGATCTAACAAAAATCAATGCAGCTATCATAACAAAGTAAGCTGTTGATTGGGGAAATAAAATCCTGGCATCAGATAATCTCTGATATGCAAGATACATAGGGAAATAATACAACATATAACCCTGAAAGCTTCAATTGAAATTCCTCAATGGAAAAGAGGCTAACAGGTATGAATAGTTCTTAAAAGAACTGCAACTAACAACTGCATGAAAGATTGTTCTAAATCATTAATAATATGAGAAATGCAAATCAATTTGTAGTTAACCAATGGAAAAAGAGCAGAGGTTCTTATCCCAGGATCTGTGAACTTCTTTTAATATTCTGACAACTATTTCCATATAATTGGTTTCCTTGATAAATCTATGTATTTTAATTTATGCCGTTAACAACATGATTCTGAGTAGACTTAGACTTCTTTTAGACATAGTCTTCACCAGCCTGCCCCCTAAGGGGTCCATGACACCAAAAAGGTGAAGGGGCATGGAAGGGGTTCAGATTTGCACCAGCTGAATGTCCACATCTGTAAGTTCACATGGGAGTGTCTTGACTTTTGTTTGAAAAGGCAGTCTGCTCTGGGAGGGGGACTGGGTCATGCTCAGTTACTGCCACAGTATGCAGTAGGTTTTTTGTTGATGGGATGAGGTGCAGCAGTACTGAGGAGGTGGGCACTTAGCGGAGTAAGTCTAGCTCTGAGCATTCGGACAGATTTCCAGTGCCCACCCTCCGCCTCCAAGTATGAGGCAGACAGAATGGTCACTTATTTATTTTTGATACAAATGTACATGACACACATCTGACAGTCAGCCCACCCATCACCACACAGACATGGCCCAGCCCCCAGCCCCAAATGGGGTGGAGCATTTGGGGTGAGGAAGGAGAGGAGCTGGAGAATCTCACCCCTGCTAGGACAATATGGCATGCCTCTACAGCTCTGGCAAGGGGCAGGTGCCCAGGGTGGGACCAGGTGCCAAAAACTTCGGATCCGGTGCCCCATACTGGGCCCTCAGGACGGTTAGGGGCTTGTGAAGGGACTGAGATGGCAAGGACTTCGGCCGAGCAGATGGGTTAGGGACCCCGGGGGAGCCAGCCCCAGGCTTAGGGTCCTTCACTCTTCTGGCAAGGCAGAGCCATATGCACATCCTCCTCCAGCCTCCCAAGTGAAGTGGGGCAGGGCATTTCCGTTTTAAGGCCACAGCTCCTCTTCACAGAAAAAAGGGGATGCTGGGGGGGAGTAGGGTGAAAAAGAGGTATGGGGCTGGGAATCGTGGCTGGTACAACCACAGCTCATCAAGTTGGCACGGCTCTGCCTAGGGCAGGGAAGAGGGAGGCTCCAGGGTAGTGTCATCCCCATCTCTGTCCTCATTGGCTTCCCTTCCTTCCCCCCCACCCCAATCAAAAAACCAAAAATCCCAAAGGGAGCAGGCTTGCAGGACGGCACTGCCGCCCACTCACTCACACTCAGGCACACAGGGACACTCAGTTACCACAAAGTTAAAATTAAGAAAAACGATTTCCAGTGTTTGCTGCTGGGAGCCCCCAAGCAGGAGCTGAGCCCACACCAGGGGCAGGGGCCGTTTGGCATTAGAGAGAGAGCAGCTGAGGGGCTGGTGGCTACAGGGAAGGGGACATCCACAGAGACTATGTACAAGGTGGGGGGAGTGCCCCCCGCTCAGCCCACAAGAGGACTAAACTGGCTCATGGGGGTGGGTGTGCATGTGTGGGGAGCGGGCTCCAGCGTGGAGTGTCCCTTCCCCCGATCCTTTGCCGAAGGAGCCTAAGGAAGCTGGGGAAGGAAGGGGCCAGGAGCCGGAGGGAGCAGTCCTCATGTTCTCACCCCCACCCCGGAACTCTGCTAGGGAAAGGTCTTATTTACAATCGGGAGGTGGGGGCGCCTGGGCCCACTGCTTGGACTCTGTCCCTGAGTCACACCTCACTTCCAGTGGGCAAAGAGTCCCTTGCCACCCTCCTCATCCCCCCCAGGCCTTCCTGGGAGGGGGTGATGAGGGGGTGTCAGACACCAAGGTTCACGGCTGCCCGGCAAGCACACCAGCTCTAAGGGCACTTGTGCCAGCGGCTGCTTGGATGGGGAGGAGTGAGTGTGGAAAGTGACCCAGCTCCCTTGGCCTGGGAGGCCCCCGGAAGGGGAGGGAGGGGTAGGGAGGGCACCTCTGGGAGGGCAGGGGGGCTTGGTCACTGCTTCTTCTCTCTAGTAGTGATGGTCACCAGCTGCTTGGCTGCCTTGGCGATGTCATAGGCGCACTGGATCACCTGCTGTGTGAGCAGCTGGAAGTCCACGGGGGCACCGGGCTCAGGGGGCACCGTCTTACGGCATTCGCTCTGCAGCCTGTACGCACTGGCATTGAGAAGCCGGAGGGAGCTGCGCACGGGCTCCAGAGAGGGTCTCTGCAGGAAGAAAGGGAGTGGGGCACTCAGGGGCTGCTTCTGGACTGCCTGCCCATCCAGCCCCGCTCTTCCTGGCACCTTTAGGTTGGCCAGAGAGACCCCTCGAAATGACAATGAGACAGGCTCCTCCCCCCTACCTTCGGGAAGAGGGAGGCCATCTCCGTCACTGCCACGTGAATCTTCTCTGAACAGGGCACGAAGC